ACTGGCTACTCCAACCATGTATTTCTGTAGGTACACACATGAAGCATCCTAATTTGTAATACACTAATTTCAGGAAGCTGCATTTACCTTTATCTTTCCACTGAGGAGGCTCTGAAATACTATTTTTACATCTTGAGATGAATGTTGAGTTAATACACACTCTTTGGTCAGGGCCTCTTTATCAACCTAGCTTAGGACAAATTGAGAAACCACCATGGAAGCCGAGTAAAAATACCTTCTCAGCACACAAATGGCAAAACATAATATTCATCTGACAGAACCTCTTGAACAAAGCCATCTCTTGACCTGAAGTCTTCCTGTGAGCCTCTGGTAAATACTGGGAAAAGCTGCTTCTGAAAGATAAAATGTTTTGTGGTACTTCTCTGAGTTTTTTCAGTTAATGTGGTCAGCCTGCCTGGGTACTATTTTAAGCATTTGTACAAATTGACTAAGTGAAACATGAGAGAGGTAATGATCATCCCAGGGAATTGGAGGTATCCTGCTGAGACTTCACTTGGAGGGTCACCAAGAAACAAAGCACAGACTCTCTTATTTTATTAGTGTAGTTCCAGTCAAACTAGGTATATTATGACCCACCTCCAGAAGGTGTGATTGGACCTGCCTAGGAATGTTTATATTTATCTAGTGGTCACCTAGGCCCTAAACATTGCCTACCAGTCTCACAGCGTTTCAGAAGCAAGCTTGCCTTTCTGCTTTCCACAGTGAATTTCCTACTTTCCCCCATTTCTTTAGGCCTCAGACCACTCATTCTTTTTACCCACCTCACTCTAAGCAGATCACCTCACTCACTTTGTCAAGAAAACAGAACCCGTTTGAGGGGAGCTGCTTCAGCTTCCGGCCACATCAGTCTCCAGATGTGCTTGTGTCTATTGCTACATCCATCCATGTTACTCCAGGGGAGGACATGGCCTGTTTTCAAAGCCCACCTCCTCATTTGTCTTCTGGATTTCATTCCTTGTCTATCACCTTTCTTTCCCTCTGAGCTGGTTCTTTCGCATCAGCATTAAAAGGAGGTTATTTCTCTCCCATTAAAAGAAAAAAAGCCTTCCCTCAACCCCACCCTCTGCTTCAGGTTGTGTATGCAAAACAGACCATTCTCCACAAGATAATGCTCAATGCGTGGTCTTTTTAAAAAGTAATTTTGTATGCGTTTTCTGCTTTTACTTTAAATTATGTAATGTCAGCTTAAGGAAACAAACCATTGAAAAATTTTTTTCCATTAAATTTTTTAAAATTCTTGCCAAGACCGCATGGCTCATAAATGGCAGAGCCAGAATTCCAATCTGTTGGGCTGTCGGAAAAGTCATGACACATTGTTGCAACAAAAAACAAAGAAAAAAATACGTCATGACTTTTCCGACGACCCAATAACTCTGATTCTAGACTCTACTGAAAACTCTCTGCTGGTTTTTTTGTTTTGTTTTGTTTTTAAGATTTTTTATTGGGGAATTAGGGAATGGGAACAGTGTTGGGGAATTGGGGAGGGGGAGCAGCCAAGTTGTTGACCTTCAGTCTTAGTTGTGGAGGGCGCAGCTAGCTCAGCTCCAAGTCCAGTCGCCATCCGGCCACCCATTGGCAGCTTGGGCCGCTCAGCTCAAGGTGTCGTGTTCAATCTTAGTTGCGGGGGCGTATAGCCCACCATCCCATGCGGGAGTCTAACCAGCAACCTTGTTAGGAGCACATGCTTTCACCAGCTGAGCCATCCTGCCACCTGTTGCAGCTCAGCGGCAGCTCAGCTTGGGCACAGCTCACTGGCCCATGTGGAAATCGAACCAGTGACCCAGTTGCTCAGAGCTCATGTTCTTAACCAACTGAGCCACTTGTTTGGCGCTCTCTGCTGGTTTTAACATGCAAGTCACTTGTGATGTTGGCAACAGCAGATATGGTGGAAGGGGGCAGGGATATAGAACCATATTGGAGTTAAGTTGAAGAGTGGGAGGTGAGGATAGTCGCCCTGTTTCTCTCATTCACAACCAAAGTTCTAGAAAGAGCACAATACCTGATACGTATGCGGTAAGCACTCAGAAAATGGTACCTATGTTGTTTTTGACCTCTCCATAACATTTGACACAGTTCATTCACCCATTCAATAAATGTTTAACGAGTTCCTACTGGGTTGCCAGGCACTTTTGTAGGTGCTAGGGATACAGACATGTATAAACAAACAAAATGCTGACCTTTATGAGGACATACTTATAGGATAAATAGGTCTAGTATACGGTATGGTAATATGCTCCATATAACAGTAAAGCAGAGACGGAGAAAAATAGTGTTGTAGGGTGGGGGTAGCAGTTACAGATAGGGAGGGTGGCCAGGGACGGCTTGCCTGAGACCTGAACTAGGGACCTGGAGGAGGTGAGGAGCTGAGCCACACAGATGATATGGGGGATGTAAGGGCTGGAATGAGAGAACGTATCAGGCTGCCCATTGTGTTCAGAAGCTAGTCACCGAACACCACATGGTATATGATTCCACTTATGTGACATGTCCAGAATAGACAAATCCATAAAGGCAGCCCTGTAAAAACACCTAGGGCCCAGAGGGTTGGGGGGCGGGGGGAAGGTGGCTGCTAATCGCTCATGATTTCTTTTGGGGTGATGAAAGTGTTCTAAAAGTGATTGGTGATAGTTACACAACTGTAAATATACTAAACGTAGTTAAATTGTACATTTTAAGTAGGTGATTTGTATGGTATGTGAATTATGTGTACATAAACCTGTAATTTTAAAAAGAAAAAAAAACAATAAGGAGACTAGTGTGGACAGTAGTGGGCGGGGATGAGGTCAGAGAGGTGACTCGGAGGTCAGAGTGTATTACAGCCCCTTAAAAAAGCTTTAGCTTTTGCTGTGGGTGAAATGGGACCGTATTGGAGGTTTGTGAGCAGAGCAATGACATGACCTGATTTATGTTTGAATAGGATTGCCTTGGCTGCTGTGTTGAGATAAAGCCTGAAGGGGAGGCAAGGATGAAAGCATGGTGATCAGTTAGGCTGTTGCAATAAAACATTATTTTTCTTCCTGGGTTGTCAGACCTACTCCCATGACTTAAGTTACCATTTAAGTGCCAAACACTTTTTAACTCCACACCTTATGTCTCTGCTGAGAGAGCTCAAATGGCCTCAAACTCAGTTTGCCTGTTCTGGTTTTCTTTTGCTGTGTAACAAGCCACCCTAAAACTTGGTATCTTAAACAACAGCCATTTCTCTTGCCCAGGAATCTGCAGTTTGGTCAGGATTTGTCGGGGTGACTCTTCTTTGCTGCTTGTTTGGGGCTGGACGGTTCATTTCCAAAATGGCCGTGAGGCCATCTTTTAAAGATTACACAGGAAGTAGTCCCCTCCATCTCCATGGCTGCTCATGGCAGAAACTTGGGAGCCACTTTTGATACCTCTTTTTCTTTACATTCCTCAGCAACCTGCCCTCTACCCTGTCCAGTCAGTCACCAGGTCCTTTTAGTTCTCTTTCTGAATCATTCTCTATCCCTTCCAGCCCTCTCCTCTGCCATTGCCATGTCCCTAGTGTAAACCACCATCTTCCTCCTCAATTACTGCAATGACCTTCCAACCGGCTTCTCTGTTTGCAGTTTTTCACCTTCCAGCTATCTTTTATCCTGCTTTCTGTGTAATCTTTAAAAATACAAATCCCTTTATGGCATGCGTCTGCTTACAAATTCTTAAAAAGCTTCTCAGTGCTTTAGCGTTTTAAAGGCCAAAGTTCTTTCTATGGACTAAAAGGCTTTGCATCTTCAGGCCCCTGCCTACTTCACATTTATTTTGGATCACTCTAGCTCCTTTTGCATCTGCTATATACTGGCTTTGTTTCAGTTCCTCCAAAGCTCTGTTCTCTTCCCTGTCTCAGGGTTTTCACTTTCACACTTGCTATTCTCTCTGTCTCCACACTCCACTCCTATTCATTTTGTTTGAATGTAATTTCCTTAGGGAAAACTGGGTGTGAATAGCCTGTTAAGTAGTTCAATGATACCTACACATTTACTTTCTAGCCCATATTACACTTGTAATTGCTCATGCTATCTTTGAATTTCTTTCTTGGTAGACTGTAAGTTCCCTGAGATCAAACAACTGGTCTTGAATTCCCAGTGCCTAGCCAGTGCCTGACACATAGCACTCAATGAATGCTTGTAAATGACTATGCATACATACAAATACATACAAAAATACATTTGCATGTATATACACATGCACATCGACTTGTGAGGATATGTGTAGAAAGATTTTAAAAAATGTTTTACACTTGGGCCGGCCGAGTGGCATGATGGTTAAGAACTGGCTTGGGATGCCAGCTCTGAGCAGCAGGGCCTCGGTTTGGATCCCACATATGAGGGCCAGTGACACTGCCCTCTACAGCTAAGATGCTGAATGGCAGCTCGACCTGGGGCTGGGCTGCGGTGAGTCGCCGGCGATGGCATAGGCTGCAGCCCCTGCTGCAGTGGGTTGCCATGGGCTACTGTGTGTAGCCAGCAGCCAGCGTGAGCGGCCAGCAGCCAGCGTGAGCGGCCGTCCAGAAGCCTGTGACTGATGTGCCTCGCCCCGGACGCAATGATGGTGCCAACTTGGGCCAGTGAAGCAACGTCCTCCACAACTAGACTGAAGAACAAAAAAATGACAGCAACTTGTCTGTTCCCCTTCCCCCAATTCCCCAGCACTGTTCCCATCCCCCTAATTCCCCAATAAAAAATCTTAAAAAAAAAATTTTACACTTGAGTAAGATTTGTCACTGGTATATTTAGAAATTAATGGTATTTCTAGTTGAGAGTATGTGTATATGTTTAGCATGAATTCTATTCTATTCTATTCTATTCTATTCTATTCTATTCTATTCTATTCTATTCTATTCTATTCTACCCTATACCCACTGTTGTTCAAAATGTACCACATCAGACACTAATCTTGTTCAGAGTTGTTGCATTCCCTCTTTTGTACCTTGTCCTCTGACCGGATACTGTCTATCCATCCCATTCAAGGTAAAGAAACTGCTGCAATGAAAGCTGATCTCCTGAGGGCCAGGAACATGAAAAGGTACATTAACCAACTGACTGTGGCCAAGAAGCAGTGTGAGAAGAGAATCAGAATCCTGGGAGGCCCTGCCTATGACCAGCAAGAGGACGGGGCTTTGGATGAGGGGGATGGGCCTCAAAGCCAGAAGGTAGAGCTTTGTAGTTTCTTGTTTTGACCATTTCATGGTTGTGATGAACACTGATGGAATCACAGATACAGCCTTTTAACTTTTTGGTATTTAACTTAAGACACGTGTTGCAGAACATAGACTCATATGTTTGCTTTTCTGAGTGAAAGAGCTATAGTACTTGGTGTCCTTGACTTCTGTGAGTGGTCATAGGTGTGATATACTACCTTGAACCAATTCTTCAGCATCTTGCACAAGTGACACAAATGCAATCTGAGTAGCACTTGTTTTATAGAGGTGTCCACTAACTGCTGAAGTTCTGTTTATTTTGCTATTAGCAAATATACCTATTGCTTGAAAACTTCACCTTTTGGTGAGCATTAGAGAGAGTGGATTTGGTAGGTTGAATATTGTCAAAGGAGGGGAAAAGGCATACCATGTAAACACTAAAAATAAAAAATCTAAAGTTAACATCAGACAAAATAGACTTCAGAATAAGGAATTTAACCAGAAGAAAAAAAGTCTAAAATTAGTGACCTTTACCTTAAGAACCTACAAATTAAAACTGAAATAACTAAAAGGCAAGAGATAATATAACAACAGCAATCAGTGAAATAGATTTCTCAACAAAATCAATGAAATCAAAAGGTAGTTCTTTGAGAAGATTAATCATATTTATACACTCTAGTTAGCCTGACCAAGAGAAAAAGAGAGAAGACACAAATTACTAATACAAAGAATAAGAGAGACATCATTGTAGATCCTACATGCATTAAAAGGATAACAAAGGAATATTACGAACAACTTTAAGCAAACAAATTTTATAATTTAAATGAAATAAATGAATTTCTTTGGAAATACAAATTACCAAAACTGACTCAAAAAGAAATAGAAAATCTAATTAGCCTTGATGTAGTAAAGACAATGAATTCATGACTGAAAACCTTCCCACAAAGAAATCTTCAGGCTGAAATCATTTCACTAGTTAATTATATTAAACATTTTAAGGCAGAGATAATACCAATCTTAACTACACTTTTTCAGTAAATGGAGGAAAAGGGACTCTTCAACTTTTCATAGGATACTAGGGTAACTCTTATACCAAACCAGAGAAAAACATTACAAGAAAAGAAAACTACTGACCAATATCCATTATGACCCTAAACAGAAAAGTCCTTAACAAAATATTAGCAAATCAAATCCAGCAATCTATAAATAGAAAAATTACTCCAAAATATGTTCTCTTGGCAGTGGGTCCTTAGTGTAAACATCATGTACATCATTTATCTGCAATTCTGTTGTCAAGTCTTGATGAACAGCTTTATTAAGGTATAATCACATACAGTACACTGCATATATTCAGAATGCATACAAATAAAATTTGACATATGTATATACTCATGAAGCCATCACCACAATCAAGGTAGTAAACACATCCATCACCCGTAAAAGTTTCCTTGTGCCTTTTATAATCTTTTGACCCTACTTGAGACCTACTGATTTAATACTTCCGTCCATGTTTACTCATCTAGAAAGTGACCTCTTAACTACACTGATTTTTGGCACCTGTCATTGTCTTGTCTTTCTTAGCCAAAATCCTGATTCATGCTTTTCCTGATTAGTTTTTGTTGTTTGTTGTGATTCACAACAGCTGTTATAAGTCTGACAGCAACCTGTAAAGTAGGTGGTACTATCCCCATTCTACAGATGAAGAAACTGAGGCTCAGAGTGATGGAGTAACATAGAGCTCAGAGGACTAGAAAGTAGTAGAGCCAGGATCAAGCCTAGGTATGTCTATTTCCAAATAGTTTAAGTGTTACACCGTGAAATGCTCGTGCCAGCTTCAAAAGAAGAAAAAAACAAATGAATTAGGGAACTTGGTTAATCCACCAGCCAAGATATGAGATATAGCAGATGTTTAATTATACTTGAGATATATTAACTATCATTTATTTGTATATATTTTCACTTTTAGGACTGAACATAGAGTATTCATAAGACACAATAAAAGAATCTAACAATGGCTAATATTTTAGAAGATGTTTTGAACTTAATTTTGCAAATACGTGAATCTGTATGTAACTTGGAATTCATTTGATCTGAGTGAAATTATACTGGGAAGACTTTCCTTAGAATTTGTTGACTGTCCTTCCTGCTCAAATCCTTTCTATATTAAAAATCAGTAGCTTTCTGAGTGATCTGTCATCTCTAGCCAAAATTGGTATGAGTTCTGTCAAACCTCTTTGGAGCATGTACAGTTAGGATTTGTACTTCAAAATGTTTCACTGCTATGGTTTACATAAAGTAAAGATACATGCTACAATCTCCCAAAGTTAGTAAACTAACTAAACACTAATGGTCTAAAATATTTATGGAAACTAATTATTAATGGTCTATAGCTAGGGATGGCCTTCTCCTTTAATTAGTTACCAGAAGTTAGGAAAAATGTCTGCTCCTTTCTGCCCACAGAACAGGTTGAGGGCTTACTGTTGGTGACAGAAGAGTTGAATTTGTGTTAACCGTATGAATGAATATTGGTCTTAGAAAGATCTTACTGATAACATTTCTGAAAAATTTCCAGCTGCAACAATATTAAGAATCTTAAAATATGAGTTTTTTTTTAAAATTGCATTTGAGTTAGATGTCAAGGATATGGGAGTTAAATTCTTTCTGAATTAATTTGAGTCATTACTTCTAATTAATTGAGTTATGAATTACTATTATGCAGGTCATCTGCTTTCTCATATTATGGCAGTCCATGTTCAAGATTGTTACCACTGTGTCTTCAGATAGTGTGTTTTCTTCTTCTGTAAGCATTCAGAATAATAAAGGAGTAATGTAGGTATATCCATACAATGGAATATTATGGTTCAATGAAAATGATGCTTACAAAATATTTTTTTAATGAATGTGTTACTCTAAACAAAAGGCCAAGATATAAAATCATTTGTAGATATCCTCAGCTACATAAAAATTGGATAGAAAACAAAAATCTCAAATTATTAGGCTTCAGCTTCCTAGTCTTTAATACATTTCTCTTCAATTTTCCTATTACTGGCACCTATTGCTTTTAGCAGACATCCCATAGGGTAGGGATTTTTGTGTGTTTACTTCCTAGAAATGTGCCTGACACAGAGTTGATGCCAAATGAATGAGTGAATGATAAATAGAATATTGGTATCTACTGAATATATGCACTTTGAATATTCAGTACATTTTTTCCACTTAAAATTTAGGAGCGTGAGAGAAGTTCTATATTACACTGACTGTGACCTTAAAAAATGAGGCATTCCCCACCCCCACCCCCCTCCAATGTAGAAATTAACCCATTGGCAGTTAAAGCAAACTGATATTTAAAATTTGTTTTTTAAAAACTTTTTCTTAAATTCTCTTAATAGATTCTTCAATTTGAAGATATCTTGGCCAATACTTTCTACCGAGAGCACTTTCGAATGTACATGGAAAGGATGGACAAGAGGTCTCTGATTAGTTTTTGGGAGTCTGTGGAATATTTAAAAAACGCTAACAAGGTAGTAGTATATTTAGGCGCAAAGGAATGTTAACTACTAGCTGATGACAACTTGCATGTTAGGCAATGTGTCTATTTCTCAATGAAGCTGTAAGATAAGAATACTTTAAAAGAATATTTAAACCAAATATAATATTGGCATTATGTTCTAGCCCATAATGGTAAATAAAATTAGACTTTATTTTTACAAAAGATGCTTTTCAATGTATAGTCAAAGGAAAAAAGGATTTATAAATATATCAAAATATTGAACTTAGTTTCGGGTAGTTCCTTTTTAACACATTATAAAAGGGCATATATTGGGTTGTCGGAAAAGTCATAATGCATGTTTGTGACAGATGGCACTAGTTCATTTTTGGAAGTACTACAGTCATTTGCATCTATGTTATTGCTATGTCATTTGACAGCTGACAGTTCTAGCTTTATTCTAAAAAAACATTGAGCAATTTTGTTGAGTTTGGGAGATTTTACAAGTTGAAGATGGAAGACCAAACTGTGCATATTTGCCATATTTTACTGTTTTACTTCCATAAAGGGAAGAACACACATCAAGCTTGTGAAAAGTTGCATAAAGTTTGCGGTGACAATGCTCTATAAGGACGTCAGTGCCAACGATGGTTCACGAAATTCCATACTGGTGATTTTGATCTCAATGACGCTCCTCTGTCAGGGAGGCCCACCGAGGTTGATGTCAAACAAAATAAAGGCATTGATCTAGTCAAACCCACGTTACACGACACAAGAGATTGCAGAAACATTGAACATCCATCACTCAAGCATTCACGACCAACTGAAGAAGCTGGGATATGTAAGAAAGTTCGATATTTGGGTTCCGCATGAACTCAAAGAAGTTCATTTGACAGCGTGTATAAACATCTGCAATATGCTCATTAAATGTGAGGAAAATGATCCTTTTTTGAAGCGACTGATAACTGGTGACAAGAAGTAGATTGTTGACAACAATGTGGTGCGCAAACGGTCTTGGTCCTGACATGATGATTGACCTCAAATGACACTGAAAGCAGACATTCATCAGAGGAAGGTTATGCTCTCAGTGTGGTGGGATTTTAAAGGTGTGTTTTTCGAGCTCCTACCAAGGAACCAAACAATCAATTAGAATGTGTACTGTTGGCAATTGGACAGTTCGAATGCATCCATCATCCAGAAATGCCCAGAGCTCGTTAATCATGAAGGAGTTGTGTTCCATCGCAACAACACGAGACCACACACAAGTTTGATTACCCGCCAAAAATTATTGGAGCTTGGATGGGATGTGTTGCCACACCCACCATACTCACCAGACCTTGTGCCGTCAGACTTCCACTTGTTTCGCTCTCTTCACAACTCCTTGCGTGGTACAACGTTTAATTCAGATGAGGTTGTAAATCAGCACCTTGTTCAGTTTTTTGCAAATAAAGACAGGTCCTTCTATGAACGAGGAATTATGAAGCTCACTGAAAGATGGCAAAAATTTATCAAACAAATGGGCAATATACCATTGATTGATCTTTGTTCTTTATGTAAATAAATGACCTTTGAAAAACAGACAAAATACGTCATGACTTTTCCGACAACCCAATACATAGTCACGTTGCTATTATAATAAATTTGGTCTTGTCATCAACAACGCACTCTCATAACCTTGTTACTTTTAGTATCATAATGTACATATCTTGCATAACTGTTCTCCTTTTATTTAAAATATGATTGAGTTAAGGAACACAGTCAAAAGTTTTGAGTACACATACCTCTTACAATGAAAAATCCAACAAGCATTGTGTTTTGCACTTTGTGAGTTCTCAATATATATTTAAGAATTAAATTAAAGAATGTGAAATATATTTGCATGTACATGTCTATAAATGTGCATACCTGTATTTTGTGAGGCTTAATTAAAATAAGCACAAAGAGCACTGTGTACATTGAACTATTCATTTGTACTATGTGAGTGTTGCCAGAAATGAATACCAACTTTTGTTAACTGTTCAACATATAGTATTCATTTTAAGAAACCAGTTATTTTTTCGGGGTCTGACACTTCTTCCTTGGCTCTGAATGTGCACACAAAGCCAAAGTCCCACACTTGTGAACCTGCATACATCCTCCATGTCTTCCTTCCAGGTTTGAAATGCAGAGAATTTAGAAGAAAATAATTCTCAGCAATGACATTTCTTAATCTTTATCTTCCTGTCTTTTCAGAATGAAATTCCACAATTAGTGGGTGAAATTTACCAGAATTTCTTTGTGGAAAGCAAAGAAATACCTGTGGAAAAATCACTCTACAAAGAAATTCAGCAATGTCTTGTAGGAAATAAAGGTATTGAAGTGTTCTTCAAAATCCAGGGAGATATTTATGAGATCCTAAAGGACAGATACTACCCTTCATTCATTGTTAGTGACCTGTATGAGAAATTGATAGTCAAAGAGGAAGAAAAACATGCCTCACAGTTGATTTCTAACAAGGATGAAGTGGTAAGTCCCATTCAAGTTTCTGTTCCCTCTTTAGTGGCTAAGCTTTGAATATGATTAGGTGGGCACATATTGTATAAGCCAAATTTGCTGTGCACCTTCATCTTTTAACACAGGACTTTAAGTAGCACTTTAAGTTGACTTACCTTATTGCTTCTGGCCTTCTCCACTTTTTTCTTGGTGCGTCTGACCAATGGGCTACCACTTCCCAGCATTGAGTCAGAGACCTCTCTGCCTTCTGTCTGCCTGAGACACACCCCGAGTTTGACTCCTGAAAAGTGGGGTGGGACGTTTGTGGCTTAGGCCAGGTAAGAGAATCAGTAGAACTCTATAGTCCAGCTTGAGAACAGGCAAAGGATGGGGAAGGAATGAGAGGAAGAGACTATGAAAGGGGTTACAGGAAATATGTTAGAGTTCAAGAAAATCAGATGAAATTAAGATGTTCTGAAAGAAACCTTCCTCAGCCATACCTTGAATCTAATTTTCTTAACATGTACTAGATCATTTTGGATAGCCCCAGTTGCCATCTCTCATTTACTGTTAATGACTTGCATGAGTTTTAAGATTTGTGAAGGTACAAAGCAAAACAAAGTGTTTTAGAGTCATTTTACATAGAAAGATCAGACTTTATCTTGGATCCTTTCTACCCAGTTCACTGTCTCAAGCCCTGAGGATCAAGTGCTTGCTCTTGGTGGTATTAGAAGCCTATGTCTCTGAAGTGTTGTTCAATTCAATCATTCATACTATTTTTTTAAGTTTTGTTATTCGGTTCTTTACATTTTCAGTGTACACAACCACTAAACTGCTTGATCCAAAGCTCATTACTCATTATTTTTAAGACAGGCCAGCTTTTTTCAATTGTGTTATCCCTCTACCTCAAAAATTAAAATGGCTAAATGCAAATGCTATAAAAGAGGTTATTCAAATTGATAAAAACATCAACTCCCAACAGATAAATTGAATAAGGACTTGAACTGACACTTGATATGAAAGGTACTAGTAAACAAACATAAAAAAAAAGGCCCAGCTTCACCTAGGATTCAAAGAAGGGTAATAGGCATTACTGACCTTTTGAAAGTTTCTACTCTTGGTTCCAATAATCTCAGTTCTAGAAATTCATCCTCAGAAAATAGCTGAAATGTAGAGAAACAGGTTATGCACAATGCAGTTTGTTTTAGTACCTCTGGGATAGCAAAAAACCAAAATTAATCCAGCAGCAGGAGCAGCGATAGGAATATGCCTCAGTAAATTATCAGTTCATAAAGTACTGTGCAGCCATAAAATTATAATTTTGAAGACCATTAATACCCTCAAAATTTGCAGTATTGTATGTGACATGAAAAAGGCAGTGTACCCACTCGAGTGCATACAGGTTATGTCATAATGCATGTACTTAATGGACAAGGACGAGAAAGAACATAGAAAAATGAACACAGCTTGGTTTCCTATGATTATAATATTTTATTTTTCTTTGAAAAAAAATTTTAATTTACTTTTTTTGTTACAATGAATAAAAGAAGAAAAAACTCTGGAAGAAAGTTAAGGAGCAAACAAACCAGAAGGTAGTCCTCAGCGGTTCTTTTCAGTGTCCTGCTGCTGTTGCTGCGCATGAAGCTAATTAACATGCCCTTGGGGAATGTCTCCAGATTTTTCCAAGTTCAATAGTTCTTTGTGAATTTTAAGTCCCTTTCAAATGCTCACCGGTTTACTAGTAAAATAATCTGCTAATGATTGATAAAATACACCTTCAACAGAAGGATCCAGCAAAGTGTATACTGAGTGTACTTTTACTGGTAGGAATTTGGAAATTTTATTTTAAAGAGACTTGCATGAGTTTTTCATAATCTTAGAAGACCAAAAGGAAACCAAGTCTCAGTGTCTTTCTCAAAGATCAGGCACAGAACATTCGGGTTGAGTTGGGAAGAGAACTCAGTTGCTTCCCCTTGTTCCAGGCAAGTTCCCTTGGGTGTACCATTTGGGAAAAAATGGTATGGAATCTTTCCTCCTTTCATTAGGAGAAAAATTCATGTGGCATCTCAAGGGAGACTGAGAGTCTTTTTTCACTGCAGTTCAGAATACCAGTTACTTTGGTTCCAAATGCTTTCATTTTTTCCTTTACTGAGAAAAAGCAGTCTGCTTCTAGACAGAAGTAGATTGTTTCCTGGTGGAACCTAGTACTTGGGACAGTGCATTATAATGATATAGAGCTTATGTAATTGATAATAATTGCCGAATTGTCCATCTTTATAAGATATGGTGGTTATGTGACTTTCCCCCCAGAACTCGGGAGGTGAGGCTGGTGAGGAATCCGTGGATGAAGGCTCCACTCAGATTAATGAACAAGCCAGTTTTGCTGTAAACAAACTACGAGAGCTAAATGAGAAACTTGAATATAAAAGGCAAGCTCTAAATTCTATTCAAAATGCACCAAAACCTGACAAGAAGGTAACTGTTTTGCTTTCAAGGTTGTCTTTGAAAGTGTCCATTTTTTAAATTTGCTAAATACTAGTTTTCAGTTTATGTTGAGAAGTGTCACAGTTTCTTTAAAAAGAGAGTTTGACTGTAAGTTCTATTGTTATTATTATTTTTTTGCTTCTAGTAAGAATTAGAAAAGTACTTATTTTTAATCTTTCATGATTTGGGGTTCTTACCCAATTATTAACTGTGAGTATCTCTGTTCTCTTATCTGGCTTGCCTACAGTACCTGTGGGGAAGAGGGAAATGCTTTTCCTTGTACCAAGGTCATTTCTGGAAGTTGAACTACTCAAGGACAATCTTAATAATTTTTTTTCTTACAAATGCTGCAAGTACAGTTTAGAAAACCTCACAGAATTATGCAAGACATAAATTATTTTGCTAAAAGCCAAAAGAATCTGTAAATTTAAAAATGTAAATGGCATCTCACTAACTGGCACTTCTCAAACCCAAGAGTGGTGTGGCCTTGGGCTTTGCGTTCGTGCCTCTTTGGAGTCCAGCAAGCAGGTTTCTGTAATAGAGGTATGGCCGATGCTCTCTGGCCTGCCATATTGATTGGGAACTTCTGAATGTGTGGTCAGAAATGTAAGTGATGAGTAAACAGATGAAGCTGTGCTGGTTACTGTGAGGAATCCGTGAAACATAGAGTCAGCCTATACCACCTGCTCTTAGGGAGCAAACATGCTGATAATGGACCCACAACATACCCCCATGAAAATGAAGCAGGTAGTCCGAGCCCTCACTGAGGATAAAATGCAGGACAACGGCCTAGATAGGGAGGCTTCCTGCAGGGTTTTTGAGGAAGGAAAGGGTCCTCGTAGACCGCGTGTTCAGGACAGTTTGGGGGCAAAGCTCCCTGTGCACACACTACAGTTAAATAACCCTATAGGTTTTCTCAGTAAAGAGATCCAAGGAGATGGTAAGCATAGCATTGTTAAAATTATTTATTTTTAAAAATTATCGTGAAATAAAAATAACATAAAATTTAACCATTTTAAGTGTATATTTTAGTGTCAAGTACGTTCACATGGTTATGCAGCCATCGCCACCATCTATCTTCAGAACGCGCTTCATCTTATAAAACTGTTCCCATTAAACACCAACTCCCCATTCCCTCCTTTCCACCCCCTGGCCACCACCATTCTACTTTCTGTCTTTTTGGAATTTTTTTTTTAATTCTTTTCTGTCTCTTATGAATTTAACTACTCTAAATAGCTCATTTAAATGGAATACTTCCCTTTCTGACTGGCTTAATTCACTTAGCATAATCAAGGTCCATCCATATTGTACTGTGTGTCAGAATTTCCTTCCTTTTAAAGGCTGAATAACATTCTATTGCATGTTTATACAACGTTTTGTTTATCCATGCATCCATCGCTGGACACTTGGGTTGCTTCTACCCTTTGGCTATTGTGAATAATGCTGCCATGAACATGGGTGTACAAGTATCTCTTTGAGATCCTGCTTTCAATTCTTTAGGATGTATACCCAGAACTGGAATTGCCGGGTCATATGTTAATTCTGTTTTTAATTTTTTGAGGAATCTCTATACTGTTTTCCACAGTGGCTGCATCATTTTACCTTATTACCAGCAGTACATAAGGATTCCAGTTTCTCTGTATCCTCACCAACACTTTTTTTCTGGGTTTTGACTGATTGATTGTAGATGTCCTAATGGGTGTGAGGTGATATGTGATTGTGGTTTTGATTTGCATTTCTCTAATAATTAATGATACTGAATATCTTTTCATGTGCTTTTTGGCCGTTTATGGTTTGTATATCTTCTTTGGAGAAATTTCTATTCAAGTCCTTTGCCCATTTTTGAATCGGTTGTTTGGTTTTTTTGTTGTTGAGTTTTAGGGCTTCTCTGTATATTCTAAATATTCATCTCTTATTAGATAAGTGATTTGCAAATATCTTCTTCCATTCTGTGAGTTGCCTTTTTACTGTGTTGATAGTATTCTTTGCTCAAAAGTCTAGAATTTTTATGATGTGTAATTTTCCTATATTTTCTTTTGTTGCCTGTGCCTTTGGTGTCATAGCCCAGAAACCATTGCCAATTCAATGGTATGAAGCTTTTCCCCATTAAATTCTAGGAATTTAATAGTTTCAGCTCTTATATCTAGGTCCTTGATTCATTTTGAGTAATTATTATATGTGGTGTTGGGTAAGGGTCTAACTTTAAATGTTTTGTGTGTGGGTATCCCATTTTCTCAGCATCGTTTGACCATTTGGAAGAAGGTTTATTTCTTCACTTTCTGCTCTATTCCCTTGGACCGTATGTCTTTCTTGATGCCAGTACCATACAGTTTTGAAGTTTTGATTAGTGTAGTAGGTATTGAAATCAGGAAGTATAAGTCCTCCGACTTTGTTTTTCTTTTTCAAGATTGATTTGGCTATTCAATCTCCCTTTGAGATTCCATGTGAATTTGAGGATGGATTTTTCTGTTTATGCAAAAAATGTCATTGAGATCTAGATAGGAATTGTACTGAATCTGTAGGTCACTTTGGGTAATATTGACATCTTAGCAATATTTAGTCTTCTAATCTATGAACATGGAATAACTTTCCATTTATTTATCTTCTTTAGTTTCCTTCGTCAGTGTTTTATACTTTTCATTGTAGAAGTCTTTCACCTCTTTGCTTAAGTTCATTCCTATGTATTTTATTATTTTTATGCTATTATAAATAGAATTGTTTTCTTAATTTCCTTTTTGGATTGTGTATTATTAGTGTACAGCAGTACAGCTTACTTGTATGTGTTGATTTTGTATCATGCTACTTGGCTAAATTGTGTAGCATTTTAAATGGTTTCATAACTCCCAGGATGTTTTTCCTGTGGCAGATTGTTTCCAAGTTGAAGGAGGAAATAATTCTAATAGAGAAAGAACGCGCAGACCTTCAGCTGCACATAGCAAGAACAGATTGGTGGTGTGAGAACCTTGGAATGTGGAGAGCCTCCATCACCAGTGGAGAGGTAGGTTTTCCTCCCAATTTATTTTAAAAATTTGACTTCATAAGACAAGATTTTGTCCTGGAGAATTAAGGTTAATGAAAGAAAACTTATGTTTATTCTTATTAGACTGCATTTGTCTTACTTTTCTTTCCTCATATTTTCACTCTGGTCCCCCCATGACTGGTAGCTATACTAGGTTGCTTGGTAGAGAGCTATTCTCATTTCATTTCAGACAGAAATGTGTTCTTGTTCACTAGAGTTGTAAGACACTTCAGATAGGAACAATTAATGTCACTGAATTACCATTTTTATTTTTCCATTGAGGGTTGAAATAAAATGAAAAGCACTACTTGAAATTTGGAGATGAAAAATTAAAAATTTAAATGTTTCTGATTGTTCCATCCTGCTGACTTCAATTGCTCATATGTCAGTGGCTCTAGGGTCTTCAATAATAAATAGTTTTTCCTTTGTATTAGAAAATATTTTGCTGTTCTCAGAGAGTTTTTAGAATGTACTGTATCCCTTTTCTTTTGTCTGTAAAAGTAATTTCATGTAAAGGAAAGATGCTTATTGGCATTTACACTGTGAGTATTGACTACTATCATTCACCTTGAAACCCAGGGATATCAGGTCCACCATATAGTGCACAAATAACATGATCCTGAGGAAGATAGTGTTCATGTTTTGCCTCATCATTGTTTCAAATGGCTTGTCAAATACTCAACTCTTTAGATTTGCAAGGGCCTGTCTGCCCAGCTTATCTTTGTTCATGCCTGCCTTTCTCATCAACCCAGTGGCTAGACAGTTACTGAGGAGGAAGGCTTAAAATCCACACTCTTAAATTATTCTCTACCTTGGAGAGCAAAACAAAGCACGTTCTCTAAGGGCCACCCTGAAAGCGCACACACTCCATGAGAGCTTAGCCAAGTGCCCTTAGTATGTCTTTGGCACTCCTATTAAGGTAAGCTGCAGGGCAATATACCTTTTTTGAAGGGACGTAGGGGGGCAATGGATCAGGGGAGGCTGTACTCAACCTTGAAATACCATATGGAAACCTTTGGTGATGGAAGTCTTGAGGATGGAAGTCTAGGAAGTGGGGGTAGGTAGGCTCAGGGGGATGTAATGTCAAAAGACAGTAGAAGAGGCCTGGGAGAGGGAAAGGGCGCAAATGCTGTCACCTCCGCAGTGTTGTCTAAAGCTGCCTCTGACATCTCACAGTTTATTAAAACCATCTTCCAAAGGCAAACACTGAGGGAAGGAGAGAGGACAGGAGGAAGAACCCTCACGAGGCACTTTGCCCTGGTAATCAGTGGTACTCGGGAGCTTGCTGTGCCACCTTAGTACTGAAAAGATAATGGAAACGGACACAGAGGGGTCACCTCCCTGCCAGAGTTCATCAAGCAGTCCCTCATGGGAATGTATAGATGTGTTTACATCGCCCCAGATTCCCCTGACGCCTGATACTGGACAACCCACTTACTAGGTGTGTGACCCTGGGAAAGTCACTGACCCTGTCTGTGCCTCCACCCCTCCCATCCTTCCTGAGGGGTAGTCCTTCGTACCTCCCAGGGCTCCGTGGGTACTCAGTAAGTCTTACTTCTCTTTCCTTTGCCTTTCTTATTGGCTCTTCCTTTCTAATTCAATTTGTTTTACTAATTCAAGCTTAAATTCCATGCATTGCCTTTTGTTTTCTTCTTTTATCTATTAGTGTTAAGTGTAATAGTGGCCGATTCTGAATTATCATGAGGTGTGTGTGTGTGTGTGTGTGTGTGTGTGTGTGTGTGTGTTTATGAATTATCTAAATTGGGAGGTAGAGGACATTATGTCTTCCAGTGTAAAATTTCATGAAAACAGAAATCATGGTTTGCTGAATTCTGAAATTAAACTGGGGAAACCCTCATCCTTCTCTGAGAGAGATTTTGGTATATCTCACACCTATCTGCTTGCTGTTAATTTGTTTTTTTCAAGGAAACACAGTTAGAATTTTAAGTCGGCTATGTTAGTTTTCTTTTGCTATATAACAAATTACCACAAAATTCATGGCTCAAAACAGCACCCATTTATTAGCTCACAATTCTGTAGGTCCAATGTCCAGCACAATATGGCTGGGTTCTCTGTTCCTTGTATCATAAGGCTGAAATCAAGACGTTGACCAGACTAAGCTCTTGTCTAGAGACTGTGGGGAGTAATCCGCTTCCAAGTTCATTCAGGTTGTTGGCAGAATTCAATTCCCTGAGGTTGCAGAGCTGAGGTTTCTGTTTCTTGCTGTCCTCTGGCGGTTGCTCTTAGTTCCTAGAAGTACTTCCAGATCCTTTCCACGTATCCCTCTCCGCCTTGAAGCTAGCAACAACATGTCGAATCCTTCTTGTGTTTCCAGTTTTTGTGACTTCCTCTTCCACTGCTGGCAGAGAAACCTCTCTGCTTTTAAAAGGATCGTGTGATGAGGTTAGGCCCATCCAGCACATCTCCCATCAGAGTTACAACCCAAGGATAATGCAAGACATATACACCAGGGAGAGGGGACTCTTGGGGGACATTTAAAAATCTTGCCTACATCTGCTCATCATGCTGTCTGTTGTGTTTGTTTTGTTTTCCAAGGTAACAGAAGAGAATGGTGAGCAAATGCCCTGTTACTTTGTCATGGTAAGCTTACAAGAAGTTGGAGGAGTTGAAACTAAAAACTGGACAGTCCCCAGAAGGCTCAGTGAGTTTCAGAATTTACACCGGAAACTTAGTGAGGTATGAATACTCATGAACACAAGGTTTAGAATTACTGAGCAAGAAGAGATATAAGAGCTCATTGCAATTTTTACCCGTAAGGAAACGGATGAATCTTTCTCCTTTGCTTTTCATACTGGTTGGCAAAGTGGCATTTTCAGCCTGACATTTAGAAATGTACTCACAGATCAAACCACCTCATCTAGTCTCAGTCCTTCAGGACAGATAATTGTCTGATCTCCATTGTGCATGGAGCCCCAGAGAACTCCAGATCTGGAAGAGAGCCAGGGATCACTGAGTGGTTTCAAAGCTACCAGTTGTGACCCATTAGCACGTAGTGAAATCAACTATGGGTGGCAGCAATAGAACGAGAATAGAATATATTGGATTCCATCACAAAAAGTTGGGGAGTCAGTAAAGTGTCATGTTGAAAGCACAGACTCTGGAGCCAGGCTGCTCACGTTTGGATCCTAGATTGACTACTTACTACATATGACCTGGGGCTTGTCACTCTGTCTCTTTGTGCCTCTTTCTCCTCATCAATGGAATACAAATACTGTTAGCACCTACCTCACAGAGTTGTTGTGAGAATTAAGGGAATAAATGACTACAAAGCATTTGGAAGAATGTGTGGCACATAATAAACATTATTGTGTTACTATTGTCAGTAATAGTGGTAGTAATGAGCATTGTTTCATAGAAGTTTTGTTTCAGTCTTATATGTATGTGTGGAATCCACTGCCCTCTTAGTGCCTATTGGGCCGACTGGCAGTCCTGTGGGAATTGGCATAAAGAGAACAGACTTGATTTAGAGTCAGATGACTCTGGATTCTATATATATATATATATATATATATATATATATATATATATATATATATATATATATATATATATATATAATATCAACATGTATATTTGCATGTGTGTTGTGGGTTGCAAAGTACTGTGTGCTTCCTGCTGTGGGTTTCAGTTAAAATGTTTGAAAGCCACTAATCTAGGTCAATTCTTTTATTTGATAGACAAGGAAAACTGATCCCAGAGAGTTTAATTGACTTATCATAAGATATAGACATAGCGGCCAAACCAGGATTAGAACCTGAGTTGTCTTACTTTCAGTTCCTTATCCTTCCATTTTTCTCAGGAATTGCATCTTCTCTAACTCTCCTCCTACTGGAGGTAACTGCCCTTTACCTCAGCAATTAAACAGTTCTTCAATCACTTCTTTCATTTAGGTCCATTTATCTCCTGCGCAGAATGAAGTCTCACTAGTAAAACCCTATGGTCACTTCTTAGACCCCTCTTGTGCAAATGAAATATGTTTGTTTCTTTTAACCTTTACTCCTGGGGTGATTTTTAAAATCCTTTTAATCACTAACTTCTGAATGCTATAACTTCTTCAACTGCTTTTAAAAGGCTGGTGGCAAAAAATGAATGTCATACTACAGCATTTCTCAAATGGACTATGGTCATCCTAGCAGTGTGACTGCAAAATATTTGTCTTGATATAAGAATACATTTTCCCAAAATTGTTGAATGATATTGACACTACAGAAAAAGGTGTTGTTTGCCCTGGGACAAACCATTGTGAAACCAAAGTTTAGTATCAGTCTAGTTGCTGATAAAAACAGGAGAAAAAGGAATTTAGGGGAGATTTTGAAATAAAACGAACGTGGAAAATAAAATGTTCTTTGAGAATTAAAAACAGTTATGCTGAAGAACTAGAGGGAACAAACCTTATACAATCCCATGTCTGCCCTTTTGTCTCATTGGCACCTTTCCTCATCTAGGGCCTGAGTGCTGGGTTCTGTCTTACCCTTGGTATTTCCTATTGTGTGAGTTTTCACTTTTTGAAAGAACCCAGCTGTGACAGGAAACACCTTTTCAGATCCCTGGTGATTTTAATCTTCCCTGCCAACTTTCACTGCTTGTTTCATTTCTCTAAAATTTTATCATGAATTTGGGCCCCAATTGATATGTGGGTGCATGCTGTTGTACGTGAGGTGTGTTAGAGGGTTGTGTAGGAAAGTCCAGGTTTTCCTTTTCTACCACCCGAAGCACTTATATTCTCTTGTTGTTACAAGCAACTTGTTACATTCCCTCTCTTGCTGTAGCCAGGCTGGCAGGGGCGCTACTGTGACCCTGATGCTGACAACAGGAGTAAAAGCAGTGGCAGACAAACTCTGCTCACTTACTTTTCAATACCACTTGATTTCATAAAGCCTATTCAAGTGGCCGCAGTGTTAGGGAGCCATCTGGAGCATTTGGAATCCACTGCCCTCTTAGTGCCTATTGGGCCGACTGGCAGTCCTGTGGGAATGGGCACAAAGAGAACAGACTTGATTTAGAGTCAGATGACTCTGGGTTCTAATCCTGACCTTCACTGTCTCATATATAAAATGGAATGATAATTCCCAACTCAGAGCTCTTGCACAGGCCAAGCTTCCAGCACAGTGTCTGGCAGAACACAGGACTTCATCTGCAAAGGGAAGTCTGTTGTTATTTATTAGCATATTTTATTATGATTAATACACTCACATTCTGCAGTTTGTCATTAAAGATAGTAGCTCCAACCCGTTTTTGTTTTTGTTTTCTTTCCATTGTCTTCTTTTGTCCACTTTGATAACTTTTACAGAGATGTTGCAAACAAAACACCTTCTGCTGTAAGCTAGGTGTCCATACCTAGCATATTGCGCTACTGTACGTATTGTCCAAATCCATCTTATCAGCGTGACTTCCAGATTTTCCAGCTTTCGGGTATTCGTGGGTCTAGGGATGAACTTTAGCTTTTATTCATCAAGCATCCCATTCCTCCAAATTCCTTGAGACTGATTAGACTAGGTTAGATTTTCAAGATCTTAAATCTCAGAGGAGTGAGTAGAGGAGGAAGATACGTGGTTTGTTCTGATTATAATTCTAACTCTCTTTTTAAGGTTAAAATGTAATTTCAAGATACTAACATTTGATTTCACCTCCCCACCCACAGTGTTTCCCGTCTTTAAAAAAAGTCCAGTTGCCTTCTCTCAGCAAGCTGCCTTTCAAATCTATAGATCAGAAGTTTATGGAAAAGTCAAAGAAACAATTAAATAAGTTTTTACAGGTAAGCAACTCAAAACTTTTAGATATGAGAGAAAAAATTAGTTCTTTTGGGTTAAACTGTCATCATTCTAAGAGCTTGCTTGTTAAATTCCTGTTCTCACAGGCCGTGCCAGATCCTCAAAATATCTTGTGTGGTGTTTTTTTGGGTTTTTTTTTGTAATTAAACTGTACTTTACATACAGAAAATACAGATATGTGTACAACTTCCTCCATTTTCACAAACTGAACACCCCTTATACTGGCGCCTAGTCCAAGAAACAGAATATTGTCAGCTCGTCCAGCCTCCTTCCTGTCGCTGCTCCCCCAAAGGTGACCACGATCCAGACTTCCAACAATACTTTGTTTTGGAATTCTGTATAAATGAATCATACAGTATGGACTCCTTTGTGTCTGACTTCTTTCACTCAACATTATTACGTCCATGAGATGTAACTGATAGCGCTGTGTTAGTCTAGATCCTTTGTTCTTGTTGTTGTGTAGGTTTTTCATTGTGTGAATGCACTACAGTCTGTCCCTTCTGTCATTGGTGAGCGTTGGCATAGTGTCCAGTTGGAGACTCTATGAAGTGCACTTCTGTACACTTCTATACAGTTCTTGTCTTTTGGTGAATGTATGTTGGGTAATACCTAGGGATTTGGGTTTCAAAGTGGTCATAGCACTTTTACACTCTCACCAGCAGTGTGTAAGGGTCCTGACTGCTCCACATCCTCACCCACACTTAGCCATTCCGGTGGGTGTGGACTGGTATCTCATTGTGGCTTTCCCTTGCATTTCTTTCCCTGATGACTAATGAGATTGAGCACCAGCCCATATATTTCGGCCATTTGGATAGTTTCTTTTGTGAGATGTCTGTCCCAGTTGTGTCTACTTTTTGTCATGTTGCCTGTTTTTTCCCTGTTGCTTTGTTGGAGTTCTGTGTGGATTTTGGATGTGAGTCTCCTGTCAGACAGTGTGTGTTGCAGATATTTTCTCCCTTTTTGTGGATTGCCTTTTCGCTCTCTTAATGATTTCTTTTAATGAACAGAAGTTCTCAGTTTAGTCCAGTTTATCAATTTTTTTCCTTTATGGTTAATGCTTTTGGTGCTTGTTAAGAAATCTTTGCCAAAATATTCCCCTAATTTCTTGTAAACATTTCGTTTTTCTTCAGTCTGCTTTTAGAGACTAGGCCAGACAAAGGTATGCCATCCCCCATCATAACCACTATTTGATTTCTTTCTTACCTGGGCCCTCTGTATTCAAAGTATGGGTAAGGTACTCAAACCATGGACCCCAAAGCCCTTATAGTTCTCAAGGGGATGGAACATTGCCTCGTAAAACCCTTTTGCCTCTGCAATCGTAGCTAGAAGTCCTGAGACTTTTGATAATGGATGTTGCCAAATTCTTAGTAAAGGCTACATTAAAATATAACCATTGAGTAAAAAATATAAATCACAATTAAAATGCATTTAAGCTAGAGTTGCCTTGAAAGTGTTAGTCTCTCTTTTTCTGTCATATGTTTATCTCTCTCTTTTTCTTCCTCTTTCTTTCTAATATATATATTTTTTATTTATGTTTGTAGTATATGCGTATATTTCCCTCAGGAAATAAAGTAATTACACTTTTGAGAAACTTTCCAAGTTCATTTATGGCAGAACCAGAGTAGAGAATCATTAATCTTTAAAAGCTCTTACAGGAGAGAATTTAAAACTGAAATATTACCATTTTGTTGCCAATTGGAATGCCTAGGAAATAGTAAACCCACTCAAGCATAATACCTGACTAAATCATTCAGATGAATTAAAGATCTTGTTTGTCAAACAAATATGTATTATTCAAAATCCCAAGATTTTTAAGCCCCCGATGTGTAGCATGACATCCTCTAGCTAACTCTTTGGTTTCTGTCCAGCTTCTGCTGTTGGGGAGGTTCTCAGTCCGTCTGTTTGGTCTTCCCAGCCCTTCAGCCACCTTTCCTGTTGTGCTGCAGAGCCTGCACTTTTGGAGGTACAGGGAGGGCTCAGATGTCCCCTTATTGGATTATCGGTGATGGCGATGGGTTAGTGAGTTCCACTGTGTGTCAACACAAACAGCACTGGCGTCCTGCCGGTGGGTGGTGTGAGCTCGACCGAGGGCAAGAATATCTGCAGCTAAGCCAGATGAAACGGTGGTCTCAAGTGTCCATCTGTCTTTTAATCGAGAGGATTTTAAGTCAGGAAATAATGTTTAAATTGCTTTTCATTTCCTCAGGACGTTATTTGAGAGTGCATATAGAGGTAGGTTATAGAGCAGACCGTACTTTCAAAATATTATCCCACCAACTGCAAATGGGAAAAGCAAGATGCACAATGTTTAGTCTGAAAGGCAGATACTACTAGGTCCATGGATTGTATGTGTACAAGAATGTTTATATATGACATATGGTTCCCTGCTGGGGCATACTAGTAATGCAGACATTTAATAATCTAGCTAATCATTCTTGGCTGTGCCACACTTATTTCCTACTTTGTTCCTAACATGGTCCGTAGCCCTCTTCTCATTCCTCACATACATGTGCCTCTTACTCCAGTCGTTTCCCCCCAGTGTGCTCTGCCCCTCTTCTGCGTGTGCGCGTGCTATGCCATGCGATGCCCCATCAGCCACTGAATAGTCATCTCAGATCTCCACGGGAATAGAGCCCCATGCGCTGAGTGTGTGCGGGGAGGAGTTGGGAATGGAATGCTATTCTTAGTGAGCTGAAAAATTACAAAATCCCCATTATATCTTGCCCCAGAGACATAACCTTTGAGAACATTTCCAACTTTTCAAACATATAGAATATGGTTATTTTCCTTTATAATAGAATACGATTTAGGCCAAAGACTTATCATTAACCCTTAATGATTCCCTTATTTATATTGATTGTATAAAGTTTAAGACTTACCATTAGTTATTTCCTGCTATTTTATAAAATAATGTTGGAGTGTAGATTAGCTAAAAGAAATCAGTTTAGGGGGAGAATATCTCACTGTTCCTACAACTGAACATTTACTACTCTGGAAAAGGAATAAAGGCCTATATATTGAGCTCAGGGGCCAGGGAAGGCAGTAGTGACACCAACTGCCCATCCCCCTAAATTTCCTTCCCTCCGTCTGAGGCAGAACCTGTCCATCTTCAGGCCAGTCTTCCGTAGGTTATGTGAAACCAACAACCACTGGGATGCTGTGGTGCCCCTTGGACTGCGCCTCCCCCCACTCCCCCAAGCCCCAGCATGGCAGTGTTCGGTGCTCTCAGATGTGCTCATTCTAGGGAGGATCATAGGGTTTGTCAGATTTCAACCTTCTTCCGAATAAATAGAATGTGAACATGATGGACTAGGTCCTCCTGGACCAGAGCTTAACCTCTTCTCCCATCCCAGTTTCTGTTATCAGAAGCACCGTGTGCTCGCCAGTGTCCCATCTCCCCCAAGGGGGTTACATCATAAATGGAGCAATGTTTCCCACTGCTTTATTTATTCCTAAATTCTGTATCTTTTAATACTAAACATTTAAACCTTCTTATGGTCACGCTGTTAATTTTACTGTTTTACCATATCAGTAGCACTTGCTTATATTATACATAAACAAACTTGACTTATGTCCTCCCTCCCTCTCTCCTAAGGCCAAAGAATTTTAGGAAATTTCCAGTTTAAGGGCCAACAAAAACAGTTATGTAATGATGTAAACAAGCGCTGCTTGGAAGATGGCAGCAGAGTGAAATAAAACTATTACCTGGCAGGCAGTGCCACCATGTGACAACTCAGAGTTCTTTTTTCAGCTGATGTACCGATTCTGAATGTAGCCATAAAAGGGTGGTTGAGTGGTATCCTTGTGCAATGTGCAAATATGTAAGTTGTTCAAACACAGATGAGTGGAAGTTTCAAAAGCGGTGGTGTCTTTATCTGTAAGCTGTGTGCAAAGTGAGAATTGTTTGTTGCGCTGAGCAATGCAAACCAGAGTGAACTCTGCTGTCTGCACAGTATCTCCTCTATGCAGAATGATTAGGGCGCGCCAACCCACCAGGGAGGATGGTTTGCCATTATGATCATTGAGAATTGATCTGATATACTTTATTTCAGTAGGAAAGGGAAGTGGTTTTAGGTTCAGAATTACAGTGAAAGTGAATTCCCTGGATTATCTGGACTTGTGGCTCCCGTAGCAGACGTATTCCCATATAAGAGTTCTTAATTCTCCGTCTTCCACAGAATCTGCTTTCAGATGAAAGACTATATCAGAGTGAAGCACTTTATGCCTTTTTGAGCCCTTCTCCTGACTACCTCAAGGTTATTGATGTGCAGGGGAAAAAACCCACTTTTTCATTATCCTCATTTTTGGAAAGACTTCCTCGTGACTTCTTCTCCCATCAGGAGGTGAGTTGTCTGAAGGTGGTACCATTTTTGGACACATTTAAGCTCATGTTTTTCCTAAGGCCGTTGGAAGTAACAGATACTTGCTGAAAGCATGCTACTACTAGCCATTTCCAGTAGTTACTATCGCTGTCATATTTCGGACATCTGTTGTGCTCCCCTACAAGTCACTTCGAAGCCTTAAGATACAGACATGAAAGGATTAATAACAAGGTAGTTAAGTGAAATGTGGATGGGAAGTTCCTAGGGGAGGGGGCCGTCATTATAGAGGAGCTGGAGTTTATACTGAAGGAGAGGAGGCTGTGTTTGCAGGACAGTTAACAGGTCATTGGGCTACTGGGGAGGGTTTCTGCAGTGGGCGATTAGGCAGAGAGTAGGAGGGGGCAAGGACCTGCCAGCCTGAGAAGTTTAGACTGCATTCTCAGGGAATGGAAAGCCATGGAATATTCTGAAGCAGGATGAATCGAGCAGTGATATGTATGGGAAAAGGAATGAAACAGAGACTGCAGACATTTGCGGTCTTATGCTCTGGACTTCAATCTTCCCATCAGAGAAAGCTCCTAACTCATGTTTAGGCCTCCGAAGCACCTTGTTTGGCTCTCCAGCAAATCGCACAAGACTGTTTCCGAAATGTAACGTCTTCATTGCCAAGTGCCCCTGCCTCTTCACCGGGATTGCTTTAATAAGTTTGGACAGAAGGAACTGACGATGAAAAGGTGTGGGCTGTGTTAGTGCATTGTGAGCTGGGAGGAGAAATCAGTGTACAGCGCAGAGCATAGCCACACCAGCATTCAGGCCTATCTGTAAACCCGCCTCCCTCCCAAGCGCCTCTCCCACCTCTTCCCTTCATAGCCGCATGTGTCATGACTGGCTATACTTGGCTTGCTTACCTCCATTACCTCCCATTTATTACCGAACCCCTTAGAATTTCCATTCTGGCTCAGTCTCTCTGTGAAATTACTCCCTGGGGTGAGTGCCAGTGGCTTCCCCTCAGTCTTCACCTTCTTCTACCTCGTTGCAGCATTTGATGTGGCTGAACTTCTTGCACAGCTGAGTTTTAGGGATCTCCTCCTGCCTCTGTGACTTCTCAGTCCTTTCTTCCACTCGTCCAGTCCCCCCAAATCCTGTCAACTTCAGCTGTTTCCTCTCTGCAGACGTTGGAGTGAACTTTCTCAGCTGTCCTCCCGTTGCCTAATGCTTGCACCTTCACCCCAGCACCTCACCTGCTTGTAGAAACAGCTACGTGAATATTTGTCAGTCTCCCAGAGAGCTGTCGCCACCGGAAATCTGGATCTATACCATCCTCATTGGCATTAGCCTGACGCCTGGCGCCTATTGGCATAGAATGAGTTTTGAACTGAAACTTGCTGATATGCAGATCCGGAAATGAGACTAGCAGAAGTACAGAATGAAAGCTTGAATCAGAGCTTTAAAAATAACTAAATTACTTTGAAATATACATGTTTTTAAAAACAGTGAATTCAAAATCATTGAAGTTAAAAAGCCTTAACGTTTAAAACTCAAAATGGTTAGAAAACTCTTTTTGCTGTCTACTAATTCACTCCTTATTAATACAGTGACGGAAGTTTTTCAAAACTATCTCAAACCTTGAATAAGACTTTAAGATCAAGCTTTCCCCTGAGGTTAGGTACATTTTGCCTTCTTTTTTGAAAATGCATAGATATCTGCATGTAGGAAAACTGAGGAGTTATGGAAGGTTGAAATATGAGTGCATAGTTTGGATTTTACACTTGAAAAAGGAGAACCACTCTACCAACGTTCTTGGATAAGTGACCTGCTTCCTATCACTTTTCTGTACCTCTAGGAGGAGATAGAGGAGGACAGCGACCTGTCAGATTATGGTGATGATGTGGATGGGAGGAAAGACGCCTTGGCTGAACCATGTTTCATGTTGATTGGGGAGATTTTTGAACTCCGAGGAAGTAAGTCTCTTTGTTATTACTTAGTGGTATTTTCTGGTTAAGTGGTTTATACCCACACACATTTAATATCCCTTTATTCCTGAATCAGACGTGTATTTATATTCATGCATTCATTTAGAAAATACTTCTAAGGGCCAACCAGATACTATGGTAGGATCTGAGGATACAATTCTAAGACAGATATCATTTCAGTACTCATGATTTGTCCCATACCATGTTTCTCTGAATAGAGAAAGCTAGAATGCTCTGAACTCCTTTTTAGGTGACTTAGCCTAGTCTCATTGCTTTATCACCAAAAGGCAGGAAGAAGGATTGTGCACAACAGGGGAAGAGCCCTGTTGTGAAAGGTGAGGTTGGGTGGTGTTGAGGTAGCATTCTGGCCAGGGACGCAGAAATGCCTCAACCTTGCTTTTCAAACACCTTTCTTTCCCTAGAGGAGTGGTTATCAGCGGAGGGGTGAGGGAACTCTGTCCCCTAGGGGACACTTGGCGATATCTGGAAACATTTTTGGTTGTCACAACTCAGAGGATGATGCTACTGGTGTCCAGTAGGTGGGTGCCAGGGATGCTGCTAAACTTCCTGCAATCCGCAGCTTAGCCCCTCACAACAAAGGACAGCCTTCTCCAAATGACAGTAGTGCCCAGGTTGAGATACCTTACCCTAGTCGTTCTTGAGGGAGATGTACTTAGAAGAAACATGAGCAAAAAGAGGAGCAAGATACTATTTTGTTAAGACCCACGCAGGTGCCTCTCCTGAAGCAGCACTTGGGTGAAAGGTCCACCCACATCTTCCACATCCCCCACCCCTCATACTCAGTCATGAGACCAGTGTGCGTGGTCATAGATGGGGCCTCAGTACTAGCTAAAACTATGATGGCGCCCACAGGCCCAGCCAACCACCCAGAAAAGGAAGCACATGAGAGGAGCAAGCGTTTGCAAGGCATAATCATGCCACCAACTAGTAAAATGTTGCCCTATAACTGTCCGGGTCTCATTATGACTGTCCACTCACATTAGCATCTTTTCCCTTGGGGCAGAGGAGGTAGGCCAGGAGCCAGCCTTACAAAGGAAGTGCAGCTGTGCATCCCTTCTTATTTATATACCTCTTAACATGTTACTTAAAGAATTATTAGCAGATGAAGAAATTTCAAGTGCTCTTATAAAAGCGAGCATGTCTGTGTGTCTTTTAATCCTCATTATCTACTACAGTGCCTGAACCATAGTTGGTGATCAGTAAAATGCCTGCGTGCGTCCACTGAGGAATGATGAATAGGCGAGAAGAGTTTAAGTGCTGGAGTTATTTTGGTCATTGGACTGTTTCTTCACCCAAGCCAAATCAGCAGACACTTCGGGAGCATATGCTTTCGATACAGCTCTGTACGGGAAACAAAAATATATCGGATGTAGATTCTTCCTTCAGTGAATTTACCATATAAGGGTTCCAAAAATGTAACTCACATGAAGCGATAGACACGCTTCAATGTGAAACTACAAGCAGAGATTTATATATAAGGATATTCACTTGAGCATAATTTTAATAATAAAAAGTTGGAACTAAGCTAAACTTCAGAAATGGGGGGGTCATTAAGAAATATCCATATGCTAGAATATTATCCACATATTAAAGATTCTTTCAGATGAATAAGCTATAGCTGTTCCATAGTTTAGACACTTTAAGATACATACTGGTGTTCAGCTTGGTTCAGTAGAGGCAGAAAACACTAGAACTCCACCCTAACTCTGACTCTTCCTTGGTGAAATCCCACCCATTAAATTGTGAAGCCTCCCAATTTCCCATACAGTTGATAAAAATGAAGAAGCATCATCTTATCCTTTGTCAGTGCATGTTCTTTGCAATACAGAAATTAAGAGTTGTGGCAGAGGTATCAGAGCCATTTAGGGCAGGAGTGGGGCTCAAAATCCGGTCTTTGCAACGTGTGTTGCCTCCATCACATGCCTGTTCAGAAGCATATTTAGTTTTGCCAGTGACATTTCAGAAGGGAAAAAATAGAACATCATTTATAATGAGATGGGATATCTTTGCCATCAGCAAAATCTAGTGTTGCTGCAGCTGCCTCTGTGGCTTTGAACAAATGAGCGCTCGGAAGGAGTAATGGGGCTATTTTGTATGTGGGGTGGGGGTGTAGGGGTGGAGAAGGACAGGAAAAAGCAGTAGAGTAAGGAGGTATCAGTGATGGGAGAGAATTTGGAGCACAACCATTTTTGATTCCTGCTCTAGTTCAGTGTACAAAATGGGACCAGTAATAATACAGCCTTTAAAAAAATGCATAACCAGTCACATTCTTTTGAAAATTGCACATGTCCTCAGACCTGGGTACGAGCTGCCCCTCTCTTGCCCTACAAAGGCAGAATAATGTTATCAGCACTGACAGATACGTTCCTCAAGCCTAAATGCCAGCCTCAAATGAACAAGTCTGCAAGCTGGCAGCGTGCTCTGAGTTCCATTAAAAAGTCAAGGCACTTTTAAGGCGTGGTCCCAACTCTAATAAGACTTGACTCTTGAAGGATTTAACAACACTACTTTACCTGGACATTTAGATCCACTTAAAAAGTTAGAAGTGACTTTAGGATGTTTTAAAGTCTAGTACCAAGTCTATGTGAATTTTTTATTTTTGTTTGTGTGTCTTCCCTTTACTGAGGTGTTTGTGAATTTACTCCTTTAGGTTTTCTTACTGGCGCAGGAGTCATGAACTCTTGGCTCCATTATAGTCAAGTCTGAATTCCTCATTTGCTCATGTGTCACTAATTAAACATTTCAATGAATGGGGATAAATACATAAGTGGAAAATTGGGTTTAGATTCCAATTCATAGTTCTAAAACATCCTCACAACATTTCTTTGCCTTCTTTTGGTTTATATTCTTATTCTGTACCTGTAGAAATGTCTCCAAGTTAATCAAGTTTAGATCTGTAGAACTTTTCACAACGCTCTTTCACAAAAAATACTGACAAGACCCTCAGAGTAAAAGCAGCACATGTGAATACTGTCCCTTTCCAGATGAGGAAACTGAGGTTCAGAGAAGGTGACTTATGCCCAGCTCTAGGCAGGGAGCAGACAGGGAAGTGCTGAATTCACATCCCCCTCAGGAGCCTGGCTCTCTGAGGTTTACCTTTCCTCCCTCAAAGGCATGAAGTATATAAAAGCACACGATTATCTACAAACCGCTATTCAAATGGGAGCAGTTAGGCTCATCGATTCATGAATATTTCAAAATATTTGTCAACAGTGGACTACACATTTCTCATTCAGAGGAGTGTGTTAGAAAACTGGGTTCCACAAGCCAGACAGAAATCTAAAACGGGAATTGTACTGTCTGCCGACATGTTGTCAGTAGCCCAGGGACATGAAGTAAGGTATTATTCCCACTTGCTAGCTCAGCTGTTGTTTAAGCATTGAAAAGCTGTAAAAACTCTCAGGTCTCATCTTACCACTTTCTCAGTAGCAAATGAACGTTTAGTCAGAAGAATTTTCATGGGCAGAAGTTTGCTAACCTAGACCCAAATTCTGCAGATGCCGTAGCCGTGGCTTGGTGTCAGGACTCGGATTGAGTTAAGTGGAAAGATGTATGTTTTCGCGGCTATGAAAATGTCCTAATTGTGGTATCCTGTGATAATGCTTTTCCTCTGGCTTGTATTTTAGTGTTTAAATGGGTGAGAAGAACATTAATTGCTCTTGTTCAGGTCACTTTTGGAAGAACCATCAACAAGTGAGTTGCACAAAATTAATATTTGAATTCATGCCTACTCTTTGCCTTACCAGTCAAATGACCTGTTATAGTAGCCAGTGATCTCTCTAACTGAAGTATTTTATTTTCTCTTCTTGTTTCTGATACAGTTCTAAAATTGGATAGGGATACAGCTTTCTGACAGAATTTCTCCCACAGAATTCATGGTGGACTAAAAGCTTGGACTAGCTCTGGCATTCTGGCTGACAAGGGTCAGAACATTCTATCTGTAAAATTCTCTTTTGATTATGATGACCGCTTTGAGTATTTTGGGTACAGTGTTTTTATGGCATATGATGGAAATCAGGTTACGGCTTAGACTCAAAGCCAAAATGGACGTGGATGAGCCTCACATGGCAGCTGTTGGAGGGAAATGCAGACCATACATATAGAGGGTGTCAAAAAAAATGTGTACACATTTTAAGAAAGGAAAAAACTGTATTAAAATGGTAATACTCAGTATATACCAATAACAAAAGATGAATACAAGTCGCGTGTATACATTTTTTTGGTAACCCCAGTATTTTTTAGAGTTGGGTAACATTAAAATGGTAATTCTTGTTAGTCAGTATCGAGGTATAGCCATCAGGGGTGTGTGTATATGTATCATATAACACTATTATAAGCCATTATATTCTAATATATTATGTATATACTTAAAAGTTTAACTCCATACCCAGTATTCTGCAGGAGATAAAGATGGCTTCCTTGCACAATAAAAATGCAAGTCAACTGCTAAAAATAAGGGGGAAAATCATGTTTTTGTAAAGCAGCTATGTTAAGATGAAATTAATCAGATTTTTCCAATTGAAAGACTAATTTAGTTGTCAAACATGTACAAGGTTAATGTGATAGTTTTGTCATATAAATCATAAATTTTTATGGGAAACAGAAACAATATGTTATCTTTTTATTCATTTGTAAGTAGAATATTTTTCTTGTTGTCATAAACCAGAGTTTGCTTCTATTTATTTCTAAGATTTTTAAAAAAATGGTGTTAGTGGTTTCTTTGAGTTCGTATCCTGGACTTTAGTTTTAATCAGGAAAATGGCCTGTTTAACTTGTAGCTTTAATCTAGGGCAAACCTCTTAACCTTCGTATTGACAGGCCTTGGAGAAAGAGATTTCCAAAACGGCCCTATTTTTCTCAGACTTGCTGATTTATTTTCCTTTTCAGTTTCAGCAAATCATTCATACTTTCTTCTCTCCTTTTTACGATATTGGCTCTTAATTATAAAATGAGCAGCTGTAGTTTGTGAGTGGTGAATACTTTGGCAGTTATTTTCACAGGGCTAGAAGGGAGGAATCATATAAAGAATTTTCAGGCTGTTCGTTTCAATGGGCTTTTTACGAGGTAGACGAATTATGGAGATCTCCCAGCCCTTTGCTTTTCTGCATTTAGCCGATGATGATGACACATCATAAAAATAAGCAGCAGTGCAATATGTGCCTCTTGCCTTATGCCAACGATAACTCCGCATGCCAGAATTGCTTCAAAGCTTCCCATGGTTTTGGCTAACAGAAAGTCAGACCTAAACTGATAGAAAATACGTAGGTGATAGTCTTTGGTAAGAGTCACTTACAGAATTTTAAGTTGCAAATTGAAATTTCTTACTTCATCTCTTCATGTAGTGCCAGTGAGTAGCCCGAAAGCAAGACTACAGAAAACATGAGGTGTCTGCCTTTTTATGTAGATTTTTCTTAGGTAGGCAGGCACGTTGGCAGGTTCTCTCTTAAAATAGACGTCCCATTAAATTAATAAAATTATTTTATTTGGTCTAGATATGAATTGCACAAGTCTAAGCAACATAGGGAGGTATCTTAGGAGACATGCAATTACAAACAAAATTAACATAGTTTTGACTCATAGAGTTTAGACTTCAATAGTGACTGATCACTGTGTGCAAAGTACTAGGCTTAAAACATTTATTTCAGATACTATTTCTAAAAACCTTACATTGTCCCTTTAAAAATATGGTTAGGAACTCAAATTCTTAAAGGGCTTTTTAATTTATTATTATTCATGAATTGAATTTGAAATTTCAGGTCTTTCTGTTACCAACAGTCTAAAATGATCCTTTTCCCCTTTTCAACAAAGAGACTTCCTGCTCCCAACGTCACAACTACTACTGGGCTCTTTGAACTGTGCTTACTTGTCTCTTGACAGCAGAAGTCCTGTAACTGATTAGAATCTGACTAATAATTAATGAAATAGGGTTGTTTGGAAGACCTGGGTAACCAGATAAAAGCCATTTATTTATAACTGTGCAAGTCACATGTCTGCCCAGTTTTCATTCCCATGGAAATTTGAAATGGCTAGACAGCAATGTATGTTTTCAGTCCTTCACTGTGTGGTGAGAGGGGTAATCTTTTTTTCCCTTGCTTCATGAGCATGTGAGATGTGTACCCCAGGTCAGAGGAGTCTGCCCAGCATTATCTGCCATATCAACACCAAGAGACAGCTAAGGAAAAAGCTTGGTTCTCCCCCAGGACTTCAGGAGCTCAGGGAGGTTTTCCAGACCACTTCTAACAGTCCTTCAGTGGATTTGTTTTCAGTTGTTACCACTTCATAGAAAAATTAGTATATTAAGTACTGTGCACAGTTAGAGTAGTTTCAAGCTTCAAACAAATCAGTCAGTCTCCTTTCAGTTCTTGTCTTTACAGATTGAAAGATACTGCATGGCAAATATTAAATATTTAAAGAAGTCAGTACCAATGAAAATGTAAGCTCCAGGAACGAATGGTCATTCAGTATTACCAAAAGAAAACAAATGAGTTTCAGAGCCAGGGTTTAAAAATACAATTCCTAGTTTATTAATCAAAATTTTAAACCATGCTGTATCTTCATTTACTCATTGGTAAAAAACCTTTTGAGAATAGAGAATAAAATTTTTTAAAAGCCTCATCCAAGAAATATTTTTCTCTTAAAAGACAAATTCGGGACACAGTGAACTGGATTTTCAGTGAACAAATGTTGGTTTACTACATCAACGTTTTCCGGGATGCTTTTTGGCCAAATGGGAAATTGGCCCCACCAACCAAGCTCAGAAGTGAAGAACAAAGTCAGGAAACAAAACAGAGAGCTCAGCAGAAGCTACTTGAAAACATCCCAGGTGAGGCCTGAGTTCTGATCCTGAAAAAGTACAAAGATAAAAAAAAGGAATAACGTCCTAGTAAGGCATTTTTCATTTATATTTCTCAGGAAATACTATTTACAGTGAAAAAAAAATCACATTTTTTTCTTTTAAATCATGCTAAGAAATTATACTGAGAATCTTAATAAGAACAGTACTAGTTATAACACTGTATTTTAACTAGAAGAATGTTTCAGAACGAATAATAAATTTTGTGCTTTAAAAATCCTTCTAAAGTACACTGTTTTGAGAGCTTAATTTTTAATTGGGTAGCAGTGTATTAAAATTGTTTAATTTGCATAAACGCCTTATGTTGAAACATTTTGAATAAACTTATTTTCTCTTTACACATTTGAAAAAACTGATCATTCATATTCCTCATGCCTCGGTGTCTTTATTTATTGTGTATGTAGCATGTAATATCTCCTTCACTGAATAGCTATGCAGTGTGCACTTTATCAATAACAGCACAAAATATAAACTTAATTTTCCAGATGCTCTTCAGAGCCTTGTTGGACAGCAGAATGCCCGTCATGGTATAATAAAAATATTCAATGCACTGCAAGAGACAAGAGCCAATAAGCATCTATTATATGTGAGTAATTTCAAGCCTACCAGAGGGTTAAGTATTTCTTTAATTTTACGTTTCTGTTCACATATGAGGGTAGATTTTAATTCTTTATATATATATATATATATATATATATATATATATTTTTTTTTTTTTTTTTTAGCTGAGCCATCCTGCCACCTGTTGGCAGCTCAGTGGCAACTCAGCTCGGGCTGGACTCGAACCGCTGTTGCTCAGAGCTCAAACCCTTGAGCGAGTTCTTAACCAACTGAGCCACTCGGCTGGCCCTTAATTCTTTATATTCTTAATCATTCTTACTACTTATAATTCTGAACCCATTTTCTCTGCTTCATTTTTGTTTGTTCAATTTGGTTGGGGAAAAAAAAGAAAAGAAAAAAAGTACCCCTAGTAGATGCATCATTTCATTGTCTCATACTATTTGTCTCTCTTAACTTTTGATATCTAACATTTCTGCATGACTGCTCAGTTTTCTTATTCCAGAAAACTCCCAGTCATCTGTCTGATTATCGTTAGCAAAGTTAAATATTGTTGATGGTTTGATAATTGGTTAACAAGACCATGAAGTAACTATTAATTCCATTTGTTTGAGAGTAACTTGCTCACCAAGCATAATCTCAGACCTAAAATTGGACTTCTCTCTTAAACGTAGATATTTAAGTAAACCCTTAGAGAAAAAACACATTTTTCTGCTCTTTTTTTCTTCTTTTTTGGTTCAGGTGCTGATGGAACTGCTGCTAACTGAATTGTGTCCTGAGCTGAGAGCTCATTTAGATCAACTTAAAACTGGTCAAGTTTGAGACTGCACAAATAAACCACCAGAGAAATGTCTGTAATCATAGACATGAAACATTTTCCTCTTTTCCACAGAGGGCTTGACTGAGAACAATATTATTTTAGTTACCTCTCTAGTTTTATGTGAAGTAAGAAGAATGGCGGTGGGGGGGCGGGGTAGGGAGGGGATTTGACGCTGTAGTAGGCAACAGGAAAAAAACACTTCTGTTAATAATTGTTTTTTATTTTAATAAGAATATAAATACTTTCAAGTTCAACATCCTGATTGAAATACAAATGTTAATATGTGATAAGAGCCTAGAAAAATATTTTAAATATTTATGAAAACAGTTTTGTTTTAAAATGAAGATCTATGAATATTGTACAGTTAATTTCCTCACTGAGGATTACGCACATTCCTATATTATCTCGTGTGTATTGAAGAACATTGTTGTGCAGTGCTTTGTGTAAAGTTATTGTGAAAATTTTATTGTCTTTATTTTTACCAAAGATTTCCCATAGTTTGAAGCATTTGAAGCAATAAAATATAAAAATGAGTCATAGAGCTCTATGATGTTTAAGATGCTTGTATCTCAAAAAAAAAGGTTTTCAAATATTTGTCAAGTGCCTTTTTTTTCTAGAAAACATTGTATATGTAAATACTTCTGCAAAGAAATATAAAGTTTGTTGCCTTTCTCCAGACACAGAATGAATATGTGAAAAATAAGATGTTTCATGTGACTGAGAAGAGCCAAATTTGTGCTTGAAATGATGCCTTAGGGAGGTGGGATGTGAGCTGAACTTGGAAGGATGGGCATGAGTGAGACAGGGAAACAGAAAGAGGAGGGAAGTTACTTCAGGGGGGTTTTGGGGACATGATTATATCATCAAGTCTTCTGGACTAGTAAGGGCATTGGGTGAGACCCAGGGTACAGATGTTGTTTTGTTATTAACAGTGACCCCACACCTAATGGACACCTCAGTCAGTTTTTCCTGAGTTTCTCCATCCATTATGCCACAATAATAAAACACTTTCCCCTCTCTAACCCCCAAGAACATTGAAAGCAAAACAACTAATAGGAAGAAATTCAGTTTGAAATCCAGGAAGGAAAAATACTAGATATATTAAAGTGCTATTGATTATATCATTGATAGATCGTACCTGTCAAGTTCTTGATATGAAACATAAGTGCTGAAAGAAATGATTAAAAATTAGGTATCTTTGGTATTCTTGTAGTTTCAGCTCTTTGATCCTTTTTTTAAAACCAGGGTATTTGACACTTCAGAAAAAAACAAACAAACAAGATGGCTGTTTATATGGATAAGAATTATCTTTCATAGGAATGTAAAAAATACATTCAGACAGAGAAGAGTAGTAGTGTGACATCACCAAGCCCCAGAAACTCATCATCACACAGTTTCTGGAAATGTCCATCTTATGCATAATTAAGCTATAGCTGTTAAGTTTATACTGCAAACGAGAAAAATAAGTATATTGACTCCTAAATCTTGAAGATAAATTCTATTTTATTTTATTTTATTTTAGCTGAGCCATCCTGCCACCTGTTGGCAGCTCAGTGGCTGCTCAGCTCGGACCGGGACTCGAACCGCTATTGCTCAGAGCTCAAACTCTTGAGTGAGCTCTTAACCAACTGAGCCACTTGGCCGGCCCCTAAATTCTCATTTTTCATGAGATATCTTCTATAAGGAATCTTACTGAAGTTTTGATTTTTTTTTTTGAAAAAAAGGTTAATGATGGGGAAGCCTTGACTCACCTCAGTTAAGACTGACCAACCCCACTCACAGGTCAAGGTGTATACCATGATCTGTAGCAGTGGTACTTTGCAAGAGCTTACCTCTGCTAGAAGCACCAGCTTTGTGGTAACTACAGTAAGCTGGATTTTAAAGTCTGTGTTGGATCCACTGAAGACATTTAAGCATACCGTATAACCATGTATAACACATGCCAAATTCCTATGTTTAGGGTTTCTTAGACCTGTATTTTAATGGCAGTTAAAAAACGTGTTCTTTACGGATGAGGAAAGATAGCAGATCTATTAAAAATCTGCTATTAAAGTCAGCATACACTGCTTTGTTACATTCCTATTTTAAGATTCTTAAAGGCGTTAAGGGGAGCATCTGAGATCTTGCTCCCTGTCATGTGTTGTCAGTTTGGCTCAAATAAACTCTTATAAAACTTTTTTTAAAGAGGAACTGGGTTAAGTGTGGAGAAGAGAATACTGGTTGTGAATTTGGATCTTCCGATGGTTGAAGGAGTGTTGCTATATGGATGGTAGTAAGCGAACAAGAGCGAAGCAAGTGGGCTTGTACTGTAGAAAAGTTAGGAATAAGGTTAGGTATTATGAAATCTTGTAATGGCTTGAGATATTGAAATATATTGCTGGGGAGAATAGAGAGTCCTTAGTAGACATTTTAAAAGAAATGGGAGTGGTTTTCAGGGATGGTTGAAGTTTATACTTTTTAAGAGATTTAAGGGAGAAAAATATGACCAGTTGAGGGAATGTCACAGACCTAAGTCTGTTGAAATTTCTTCTTTTTCTATAAAAACAAAATGAAGTTTAAGTAATATAGGCAAAGCAGAACATAAACAGAAGCAAAGTAATTTTCTGCCACGCAATACTTTAGTGACTGCCACGTACATGGTAATTGCATTTCCCCCACTACTAAGACGAGATCTTGTTTAAATCCACTTTCAGAAAGGATGGTTTTAATTTATAAAATAAAGCCACATTAGTTTACTATGTTTACCAAGAAGATATTGTTAAAGTATCTTTAAGACATCATTTTCCATATATTTGTTGTGCAGATGTATATCACTATTCAATATTCTGCATATAGATTCTACTATTTTTACTGTCAACTTCTGCCTTCATAGATGTCATTGATACAAGGAAAGCCTCTTGTTAATTTAATTTTTAAACTATTTATAGTTTTATAATGATAGATGATTTCATTGTGTTTCTTTTCATATTTTATCTTGCTTTGAAACACATCTAGGTTTTTAAAATTTAGAAAATGAGTTGAAGCACAAAGAAAACATCTTGCTTTAATTCATTATCTTATCAGAAACATAGCAGTTGTTTTACTCATTAAATTAAGATATTTAAGGGAAGATATGGAGGGCAAGATTCTAACCAGTTTCTTTTTTTCTTTCTTTTTTTTTTTTGCAATTTAAAACTTATGTTTATTTATTGAATTTTCCATTTAACATTTTTGGACCGTGGTTAACTGTGGGTAACTAAAACTACAAATGCAAATCATGGATAATGGGTGAGTATTGTATTCCTTCTAAGTGTTCTGGTTCTTCATGCTAAAACATCTCAGCTTCCACAAATCTGGTTGCCAGATCAAAATTGTAAGAGCCCTTCTAAAGGTTAAGATTTAAATAGAAAAAAAATAATACATATACATATTTTATTATATACAAAGAACAATAAAATGTTTCATCAGGTAAAAAAAAATACAAATTATAGTAATAATTAATAGCTTCAAAAAGCCCTTAAACCACTGCAAAACACACAGGCCTCAAAATAGGGTCACATAGCCATTAATCAGAAGTAGTTCTCCCATAACTCAGTCTATATTCTGGAGAAGCTGGATTTTTATGAACTCTGTAGGGGCTCATGTGTGAGTCATAAAGGAATGAAATGCTTTCACATCTACGGGGAAACAAACTAAAGATATTGAAAGGAACTTCTAGGATTATGTTTATTGTTTACAGTAATTTTAGAGGTAACCATAGAAAAGTGTTAAAGACCTCTAGGTAAAATTCTGGCTATCTCAGTAAGAATGGATACCATTTTGTAGTTCTACAAATGGTTTGTCTAACCAGTTTCTTAAACTCTTTCTTCAGCTGTTTTTGAAGTTTATCATAAATCAGCCAATTATTTATAAGAATTTCTTTTGAGAATATAAGATGTCCCAAAAGACTTTGTGCAGTGCTAGCTGTAATAACTTCAGAAACATAAATGCTGCACAAGTTTATAAGAAACATTATTTGAAAATTTCTTTTTATGAATTTTAAATTTAAAAGTTTAAAAAGGTTAAAATGAAAAATTCATGTATAAAATTGTTTATGAGTTTGTATGTAGCATTTATACTTCTGAAGTTACTAAAACTAAGAAGTCTTTTGGGACACTGTGTATTTAAAGAAAGGGAAAAAGATATTTGCTTTATGGAATGTTTTTCAATATTTGATGTAGTGTAGGCCAGTCTGTAGGCTAAGAGCTGGATCTTGGAGAACTCGTCCAGCAATTTGATCTTGTAGCTAGGTTTCAAGTTGCAAAATTACAGAATATGAATTTAAGAACAAAGGTAACATGTCATTTAGTAAAATAACCAGGATAATGTAACTTGGGATGCAGAAAATAACCAAACTTAGCTCCTATAAAAATACACACACTTGAAGGTCTTAGGATTGACAATCTTTGTTGAAATGCACGATGGCCTAAATTCTTTGACGAATAAGTAACACGTGGAGCTCATCTGCCAGTGCAGGATTCAGACGGCAAGCCTTAAAAGCAAAGATAGAGTCAATTATTTAGGTACATCCTGAATTGTTGGGTCTTCCTTTCTTCTTTCTTCCTTTTAAACAATATTTGATGTGTTTTTAAGACTATTAAAGTCCAGTGAATTTCAAGGGAGTTTCTTAATTAAGATACAAGGTGTGATCAAAATATACAGTGGAAGTTTAAATTACAAAAACTTATTACAGTAAAAGACACATTGCCATTAAGCCACCTCAAAATACGCCCCCTCACTTGGAACACTCTCATCCCATCATTCCTGCCACTTTCTGAAGCAGTTCCAGAAGCCCTCTCTCATAAGTGTCTTTACTTCATCTTCCATCATGACAATGCTCTGTGTCACACATCGCTTCTGGTATGGAAATTTCTGTCAAATAAAAGCATTACAGTGTGTCCTCATCCATCTTATTCACCAGATATGGCACCGTGCGACTTCTGGCTCTTACCCAAAGTTGAAATGACCGTGAAAGGTAAATGTTTTGAATTGATTCAGGACATCAAGGCAGCCACGACAGCTCAACTAAAGACAATCACGAAAGAGGACTTCCAGAACTGCTTCAGAAAGTGGCAAGAATGATGGGATAAGTGTGTTTGAAGTAAGGGGGAATATTTTGAGGAGGATTAATAGCAATGTGTCTTCTGTAATAATTTTTTTTTTTAGTTTAAACATTCACTGTATTTTTTTATCACACCTCGTACATACCTATTATATCTTAATAAGGGAAGTTCAAATTAGCAAAAAAAAATCATGCTAAAAATAACCATGCTATCATTCAAGAAAGAAAATTTTATATAAATTCTATATTATGAATTATAAAGATAAATAATATGGAAAGCATTAACATTTGGCCTCAAACTTACTATATGAATAGCAGCATATATAACCTTATTTTAATATACATAGTTTTATATTATGGCTTAAGTAAGTAGTGAGAAGTAATAGTGCATAATTTGATAGAATGTCCAGAACTGGGATGAGCTATCAGAGGTTATCTCATCCAAACCACTCCATGCAGAAATTGTCCCTTCAGTGCCCGTGACAGTGGGTCACTAGATATTTGCTTGGCTGCTTCTAGTGGCAAGAAAGTCATTCATCGCCTTATAGGAAAAACTTTTATTTCCTCAACAGTTGTATTAGACGATTCTTCTTCATATTAAGCTAAAATTTCCCTCCATGTACTTTAGAATCGTTGAAAGGTCTTAGGAAAACATGTAATGCTGGGTTCATAGAAATCCCAGGAGGCAAAGTAATTGGCAGTCACCCAGCGGAGGGAGGCAGAGCTGGGACCAGGCACGTTCTCCTGACTTGAGGCCCTCTGTCTTTTTGCTGTCTGTGGCCTTATCTTTTCCCATAACACACCCAGTGGCTATAATTCTGCTCCCCCACCCCCTGTAGCTCCTTTTCCATAGGACAGCCTCCTAGTCTGGTGAAGACCACTGTCAGGATCCCCGCATGTCCTTTTTCTCTGAATAAAATACCCAGTTTCTCTCATCATGCCTCACATGACAGGATTCCAGACCCTTCCCTGGCTTACTACATCTGAATTTTCTCCATTTTAAACGTATCTGCTATAAAGTACAATAGCCAAAATTGAGTAATGGGGCTGTGTACTCTCCCCCCACATGGAAAATAGTTTTAAAATTTCAAATTGTTTGTTTTGCTGTTTTATTGAGGATGGACATCTATCACATTTCAGGATATTTTTGACCCAGAGTTTTCTCTGCTTATATTTATTTAGAAAGGATACTAAGGATAGCATACAATCTGAAATTGACTCGGTTTGGAAATAGGTATAATACATAGAACATTTAGATTTTAAAAAATGTTAAAGACTTATTCATTATTAATAGAATGGTATTAGGGGTAAATAGCTCCAAGGTCAGTTGTTTTTATGTACTATATCCCTATATTTATGTGTTAATAGGGGCTTAATGCTCTGGAAATTTTAATTTCAAACAAAATTCTTTAATTCAGGGTTCCCGAACTTTGCCTGCACACTGGAATCCCCTGAGAAGCTTCAATAAATATGCCTGTGCCCCACTCCCGGGGATGGAGATTGAATTGTCCTGAAACGAGGCCTGGGCTTTGGAATTTTTAAAAGATCCTCATGAGATTTTAATATGCAGACACGTTTGGGAACCACGGCTGTCATAAGAGCAGGTTCAGGCAAGGGACTTCAGAGATTATTCCTTGCCTGTTCCCCTGCTCGAGCTGAACACCCTGTGCATTCCATAAATCTCTTGATAAATTTTATAACGATGGAACTCTAATTTGGACTTCATGAATGTCATCCACCTAAGGCATGCACAGTCTTGTTTACTTCTTTAACAGTTCACTCGCAGTTACTATGATTTTTCCCCTTTTCCATCATCCCCTCCCCACTTTTTAACAGTTGCTTGACTTTAGATGTGAAATCCATTTGGGACCTAAATAAATTGCTCACACACTCATGAGTGTTCCTCCTAAATGTGGTATAGATGTCATTACATAAAAATCTTTTTCAAAAACTGCAAAAAACTGCATGTCATTAAGGTACTAGATGAGAGTGCAGATTCACACTCTTTCTGGGTGAAAGGAGACACAGTCTGGCTTTAAGGTCTTGGTGCCGGGCCTTGGGCTGCACATAGTAGCAGAGTGAGAGAACAGTTTGCATCAAAACAGGACTTGTATCATCTGAGCTGAATTATGCTATAATAATAAGAATCTGACATAATTATCTGCCAACAATCTGCATGTCTGGCAAACCCTTTGTAGACTGAGGTTATCTGCACGATAATTAAGGAGGAAAACATACTCATCCAGAAAGATGTTCAAGTCTCAACTAAATGCCCAGAAATTTCTATTTGAGTCCATTTGTATTTGTTCTCAGGCTTACTTACTTGAGAATAATAGTGTTTAGCTGTTGCTTCATCCTTTGTGATCCCCAAACCGAGCTGAAGGCATCGTGCATAGTAGAAAGACGCCATGGCCATGCCTCTGCTGATGAACTCGGGGAGACAGTCCGTGACCTGGGCTATCATGGGGATGTCGTGAACCTCATCATAGTCAGCAATCCTGTCATGATGGTAAATTGTGAAATGAAAAGCACATGAGTTATGGTTTACATTTTTACAAGTGACAGACATGTCCAGAAATTGTCATAGTGCCCACAGGGATTTCCCCATTTCTACTTGCTTAAGAGCTGAAGTTTCTTATGTGGTGAAGGATAAATATAGCAGTCAGTTAATACCAGGGGAAGAGGAACTAACTACTAGAGTGGTTGCTTTATAGCTTCCCTGAGATTATATTCATCAGGCTTAATAACCACTAGAAAATGAAAGAAAGGGTTTTTTTATACTATTAATATTTTAACCTTAATATCACTTTGCAGATTTCAACAATAGAAAAAACGTATTTTCTGTTTCTTTAGATCATTTATTAATATCGACCTTAAATTTGGACTTTAGTCATAGAGGACCAGAAAACACAGGCAGAAACCACCTTTGTTAAAAAAAATGGGCACTAAAAAGTCATCCTTTATAACGCAGACACAAATATGGAGAATTGTGTGAAAATAAAAACTAGTTAACTCTATGTCAACCCTAATGTTATGGAGAATAGGAAAGTGGACAATAATGGCAGGTTTCAAAGATTTTAAGAACTATTTAAAATCTTAGTTCTTAGGGTCGGCCGAGTGGCTCAGTTGGTTAAGAGCTCACTCAAGAGTTTGAGCTCTGAGCAACAGCGGTTCGATGCCCGGCCCGAGCTGAGCTGCCGCTAAGCTGCCAATAGGTAGCAGGATGGCTCAGCTAAAAATAAATAAATAAAATCTTAGTTATCAAATGGCACTTGGAGATTTGGGACATTGAAGATCACATCTTTAAGTGACCTGCTACCTGGAAGCCAAAATGTTGGGAGGAGGGGGGCAGCAGCTCCTTGGTCCTTCATTGCATGGCTGCTCACACTGGCTAGGGGACAGGGCACCCTGTGCGCTCTGTAGAAAGGGCATTATTGGGAGGGAAATACATCAGTGTGGTATTATGGCCGCTCTGGAAGACATCTAGGTCTGTTTTTCTTGGTATGTTGCTTTTGTACATTATGGGTAAATAAATAAATATAGGAAAGTACGTGGGCTCAGAAAAGAAATTTCCATATATTATACAGAAATTTACAAATGGTTTATAAGATGTTAGTGTTGGAGTCTTAACCATTATTCTCATTTTACAGTCCTTACAAGCTATATTGCAATTATGTAGTTAGAGAACCTGTGGCAAAGGGTGTAGGAAGAAGTGAAAACTTAATATTGCTGATGTGCTAAGCTATGTTTAGTACTTCATATACACTATTTTTATAATTCTGCAGAAGTATTTTCTTATAAAATAGGCAATTGAGGCCCCCCAAAGTTCAGAAACTTGCTTAAGCTCACTCAGCTGGTATGCAGAGCTATTAGCACTGAAATCCTGAAGAATAATTGCATAGAATGGCACTATCCCATGTGCTAGCCATTAGCCACGTGTGGCTCCTTCAATTAATTAAAATCCAAAGAAATTTAAGAGTTCATTCCTCAGCGGCACTAGCCACATTTCAAGCACTCAAAAGCCATCATTTACAATATGGCAGCGAGTTCTATGAACACACCTGGCATAGAACATCCAGTAAGAGTGTTTGTAAATTCTGTCATCCAGCTTATTTACCTTTTGGAAAATGCAACACACTTTGTAAAAAATTTCATCTTATAGTAATACTCCACGAGATGCCCCTGAGCATAGACATTTCCACGTTCCGCCGCCTCCCTCAAGCAGTGCAGCGCAGCGTCCGTATCCTGGCGGATGCCTTGTCCATAAAAGTACATGAGCCCCAGTGCACCCTGGGACTCCAGATTTCCATTGCCACAGGCTTCTGAATGCCAATAAAATGCCTTAAAAAAGCACAGTTTCATCTTGTTATTCGTAAGGTACAATTACACGGGAATACTGGAAAGGAAACAGTCTCTTAACGCTAAGACAGTACTATGAATACATCTCTAGGAAATAGTTCTAGCCCCTTGCAAGTATTTCAGGCTAATGCCAATTTCACGCGCCTAGAAGAGAGTTGCTACGCTGAGCCGCCCGTTGTCTACCCCGCAGTGCCGGTGAGGTCACGGTCTCAGGTGTCAGGGTTTTCAGCTTTTCCACACGAAGGATCAAGGAGGGAAATAGCAAGGAAGCATCTGCAAGGCTGTGAGGCGCAGGCGGGAGGGGAGAGCTACTGATGCTCAGGGAAGTCAGAGCCCCAAGGGGACCTCATGGTGGCGCTTTCAAGATCAAAGGCAGCTAAGGATAGACGCTGCAGGAAGGCCCAAGCACAACTGCTTAATACGCAGCTACTGTGAATGTGAATTAGTTCAAAAATTATTTCCAAGTGGCTGCTCAGTTAGCAGAGGAGGGTTAAGTTTGCCCTTCACGCCTCTTTCAAGTAGGACTCAGTCCTACATTTCCTTCCCCCATAACATTTCTTGGAAGATATTTCAATCATTGATGATTAAAGAGATTATATTTCTGAAAAAGTCTTAAATAGATTTAAGTTTTAATTAGTTCTTAGTATATTTTACTTATTAGTATCATTCTTCCTCAAATCAAATGTAATGATTTCTTCACACAAACGGATTTGGGCTTAATTTGAGGACTCTCCTTATAGCTTTTATGAAGTAATAATATTTTGTACGTAGCTTTCTATACCATACAGAATGCTCTCACATCCGTGGTCTCCTTTGATAGAGGCAAGGAAGGTAGCCTTCATAGATGAGTAAGGGGTGAAATGAGCTTTGAGATTCTAAAATGTAAACTTTCTTTACATTTAGGAAAAAAGAAAGATTCACAACTACAAACTTATTCTTCACCACCCTCCTTTTAAAAAAAGAAATAGCGGAACAAATACTAATCTAAATATAATGCTAGCATTAAAAACAAAAATCAATGTTACCTTTTCTAACTCTTTGGGCTCTTTTGTTGAATAATACAATCCTAGGATACTTTGAGCCTTCACACTAGCTTTCGGATTTCCATTGTCTGCAGCAAAAAGCCACAGTCTAAAAGAGAAAGACAAAGCAAGTTGCCCTTTGTTTCAGCATTTGATTAAAACGAAATCTTGTTCTCAGGTTAAGATTACCTTTCAGCTTCCTCATAGGATTGTTTAGCGCCTTTTCCTTCGTAATGAGCTCTTCCAAGGTTGTAAGCAGCAGCAAATTGTAAATGTCTTGCTTTGGGACATGGAGAATCAATAATTTTCTTCATATATTCCACTCCTTTTTCCTTCCACAAAGGAAAAAAAACAAACAAAAAAACCCCTAGTTTTTAGTTTTACCCAAACTAAATTCTTTCTCCCAATAATGTAACACATTCACCCTCTGACATGCTGTAATGTCATGACTGTATGCCCAAGCGGCATGTTGTCCTGGAGTCTGCAGGGCTGGAAATAATGAAGGAGAGAAGTAATAGGACATCTGCTGAGTAGGCATGCTCAGGACCCCTGGGATATAAGGTATTTGCCTCATTTACGGTTTCCAGAGCCGAATTGCATCTCGGTGTGTTTTCCCTTTTTCTCTCTCCCACCTTCTAACCCTTATTCTAAATCAGCATAGTCTTGGAATGATCAAAGTGAAAGAATAACTGTGACTTCTTTCACATTTATAATCCTTACAGTATACTTGAGCCCCAAACAAATGCTGTCTTTTCTCTTCACGCACACTTTTCACTAAGTGTGCTCAGTGACAACGTGCATCCAGCATCCTAATCTTCATAAGACATCTGCATAGTCACAAAGCATGCACAGGAGACATTCTAACCACTAGCAACAAAAGGCTTGACACCCGCCCTCCCCCCCCCGCAAGTCCCCTACCCCAGCTTCAAAAACTCATCAGACACAAGCCTTCAAACATCACTCCAAAGAAAATAATATTTGACCATCAAATACATATTTATATATTACATTGCAGTTTTCACCCCCTCACTGCTGTCTCAAAGTGCTGTTGCAGGCTAAATGCCACAGTAATAGATGAGAAAATAAAGATACTTTACTTTTAGTAAGTCCCAGATTATGTAGATTTATTTTTGTGAATGTGTGAGGTAGGTATTTTTCTCCAATTGCATAGTAAGAACTTAAGGTAATGGTAGTTGAGTGAAGTGATTGTGTAAATCCTCCCATAAATAGCAATGATTAAATCTGGACACAACATAAAATTTTATTTTTGCTTATGTTTTTTTAAAATTTTTATTAAAATATAGCTAACATACAATATATTAGTTTCAGGTATACACAGTTATTCAACATTTATATACCTAAAGAAGTGATCCCCATAAGTCCAGCAACCATCTGACACTGTACCATGCTATCACAATATTACTGGCTATATTCCCTATGCTGTATATTTACATCCCCATGACTTATTTTATACCTGCAAATTTGAATCTCTTATTCCCCTTCACCCTTCCCCCCTTTGTAAATTTTCCAATTACAGTTGACATTCAAAATTATTTTATATTAATTTCAGGTGTACCGCTTAATGGTTAGACATTTATATAATTTAAGAAGTGATTCCCAGATGGCTCAGCTAAAAAAAAAAAAAAAAAAAATACAAGAAGTGATTCCCTGACTAGTCTAGTACCCACCTGGCACTATACATAGTTATTACCGTATTATTGACTATATCCCCTGTGCTTTACTTTACATCCCTGTGACTATTTTGTAACTACCAATTTGTACTTCTTAATCCCTTTACCTTTTTCACCCTGTCTCCTACTCCCCTCCCATCTATCACCCCAATAATTCTAGTATGCATCTGACACCAATACATAATTATAATATTATTGACTATATTCTTTATACTCTATATCCCCATAACTACTTAGTAACAACCGATTTGTACTTCTTAATCCCTTCCCCCTTTTCTCCCATTTCCAACCCCCCTCCCTTCGGGCAAACATCAAAATGTTCTCTGTATGTATGAGTTTGTTTCTATTTTGTTCTTTAGATTCCACATATAAGTGAAATCACATTGCATCTGTCTTTCGCTGTCTGACACTCCACTCAGCACAATACCCTTCAGGTCCATCCATCCACCACAGATGGCGAGAACCCATTCCCTTCCATGGCCAAGCAATATTACATTGTATATATGCACCCCCTCTTCTTTATCCATTCTTCAATCCACAGACACCCAGGCTGCCTCCACATTTTGGCCATTGTAAGCAATGCTGCAATGAACATATAGATGCACATATCCCCTCGAAGTAGCATTTGGGTTTCTTCGGATAAATACCCAGAAGTGTGATTACTGGGTCCTTCTTTGTCACTTCTTATAGCCTTTGTTTTAAAGTCTATTTTGTCTGGTATAAATATTGCTACCACATCTCTTTTGTTTTGTTTCCATTTTTAGGAAATATCTTTTTCCCATCCCTTTACTTTCAGTGTGTTTCTATTTAGATCTGAAGTGAGTCTCTTGTAGGCAGCATTTAGCCATTCTGTCTTTTGATTGGAGCATTTAATCCATTTATATTGAAAGCAATTATTGATAGATATGCAGTTATTGCCATTTTTAAATTTATCATCTTTTTTTTTTCATCTTAAAGAAGTTCCTCTAATATCTCCTGTGATACTGGTTTGATGGTGAGGAATTCCTTTAGCTTCTTGTCTGCGAAGCTCTTTATCTGTCCTTTGATTTTAAGTGATAGCTTTGTTGGGTAGAGTCATCTTGGCTGTAGGTCCTTACTTTTCATCACATTGAATATTTTGTGCCAATCCCTCTGGCCTGCAAAATTTCTGTGAGAAATCAGCTGATAGTCCTATGGGAGCTCCCTTGTAGGTAACTAACTGCTTTTCTCTTGCTGCTTTTAAGATTCTCTTTTTGTCTTTAACTTTTGGCCTTTTAATTATGATGTGTCTTGGTGTGGGCCTCTTTCGGTTCATGTGTTTAGGATTCTCTGTGCTTACTGGGCTTGTATGTATATTTTGTTTGTCAGGTTAGGGAAGTTTTCTGTCATTTTTTTCCTCAAATAGGGTTTCAATTCCTTGCTGCCTCTCTCTTCCTGGTACCTCTATGATGTGAATGTTGGTACACTTAATATTGGCCCAGAGGCCCCTAAAGCTATCCTCACTTTTTGGATTCCTTTTTCTTTTTGCTATTCTAATTCAGTGTTTTCTGCTACCTTATCTTCTACATCTCTGATTCGATCCTCTGCTTCATCTAATCTGCTGATTCCCTCTAATGTATTCTTCATTTCAGTTATTGTACTCTTTTATTTCTAACTGGTTCTTTTTACGTTTTCTATCTCCATTTTTATGTTTCCATATCTCTTTGTTGAAATTCTCCCCAATAGCATTGAGCATCCTTATAGCCAGTGTTTGGAACGGGGCGTCTGGTAGATTGCTTGTCTTCATTTTGTTTAGTTCTTTTTCTGGAGCTTTGCTCTGTCTTTTATTTGGGACATGCTTCTTTGTCCCCCCATTTTGGCTGTCTCCCTATGTTTGTATCTATGTATGAAGTAGGGCTGCTATGCCTCCCAGTCTTAGTAGAGTGGCCTTATGTAGTAAGTGTCCTGTGGGGCCCAGTGACACAGTAACCCTGGTCACCTGGGCCGGGTGCTCCTGGTGTGTCACTTGTGTGAGTTGTGCATGCCCTTCTGTTGTAGTTGAGCCTTGGTTGCTGTTTGCACATCAATGAGAGGGATTAATCATTGAGCTGATTGGTTTTGAGGACTGGCCAGGACTACAGTGGAGGTGCTGTTGTGCAGGGGCTGAACCTATAGAGCAGTATTCACTTTAGCAGGGCTCTGCTGCCTTCCCGGTCTGCCCTTAGGGTGTGTAACCCTTGGAAGTGGCCAGATGATGCTCTAGGTCAGTTCAAAGCTGGCCACTGAGCCTACCAGCTCCAAGGCCTTCTGGGAGGAGGGCCCTACTGCTGACCAAGTTCAGCTGCAGCCTGTGCCCTTCCCTGGGCCACCTGGCATGAGCCAGAAAGAATCCACAGATGGCCACCGCCCAAACTGGGCTTGGAGGTGCCTCAAGGGGCCAAGCTATGAACCAAGGCCAGCTGCTGCTAGTGCTGGGCTTAGGGCTGTTTATCCAGAGGTATGGGACACGATTAAATCAGATGCTGCTTTTTTCAGTTTGTAAACCTTTAAGAGATTTTAGGAAAGTCCACAGCGTGAACCAAGACAGGCTGTTTGTAACGAAAAGGTACTGGAAGTGGTTTGGGTGTACCTGAAATTTGGACAGTGTCTCAGGGAATCACTAGGGTGGGGTGAATGTGTTAGCCAGGTTGATGGAGACTCAGATATGGTGGCCACCTGCGTCTGCACACTTGGAGAGTGGAGGGCTCAGCAAAGAAACAATGGCTTCTGCCAGCTCTTCTGTCCAGGAGAAAGCTGCTCATCCAGCCCTTGCCCTGAAGCAGACAATTCAGTTCCTCCCTGTATGTGCCTGGAGCCTTTGGAGCTGCTGCCCAGCCCTGGAGCTCAGAGCAATTGAGTCTCTGCACAGCAAGACTCTGCACAGGTGCTTTAAGAGGAGCACCTGGGACTGCAGCTTCCCTCCGACTCACTCAGCCACAATCTCCACTGGTTTTTACAGTCAGAAGTTGTGGGTATTTCTCTTCTCTCCCAGGCACTGAAGGAAACCCTTGGCTGGGAAACTTGGTGTAGGGATGGGACCCCTTGTTCTTCTGGGGGGATGGGGGGGTACCCCCACAGCTGAGATATTCCTCCCAATTTTATTGGTCACATGCAGATGTGGGATGAGCCTGTTCTGTGTCTCTGCTTCTCCTTCTATTCTCAAGGTGGCTTCTTCTGTATGTCCTTAGCTTTAGGGCTCTGGTTCAGCTAGACTTAAGGCAACTCTCAATGATGGTTGTTCTGTAGTTTTGTTATAATTTTTATGTGGTCATGAGAGGAGGCAAGCACAGCGCTTACTTACTCTGCCATCTTGACCAGGAATCTGGTTTCTTTTATTTAAGCTATTAATTAAATTGGTACATTGTATTAATAGATTTCCTTATGTTGAATTATAAAATTTCTGGGCTAAATCTTACTTGGTTATTATATTTTGTTCTTTTAATGTATTATTGAAATTGTTTGGAATAAGGGCAAATATTTTATTACCCTCACAGTTGCCACCATAATTGTTCATAGAGAGATATGATTTTTCTCTAGGAAAGTTATGTGGAAAAGCCCCTTCAGGTGATAACCCCGATAACAACACTGTCAACAAGGGGCCACAGGTCAATCAACAAATATTGTTGAGGGTCTCCTGTGGGTCTGACACTGTTCTAAATTTCTGGGGGATTCAGCAGTGAAGAAAATAGACCCCCAAAAAACACCCTAATTTTTTAGAGCTTACATTCCAATTAGGGAGAAAGAAATTAAGTAGTAACAAATAACTGAGATAATCATTAAGTCTGTGAAGAAAATAAAATGGGCTATTTTGATAATATGGCCACAGAAAACCTTTCAGATGAAGTTCCATTTGAACAGAGACCTGAATGAATGGAAGGCAAATGAAGAGATGACTAAACTATGTTGGGTGAGAAAATGGGGTAAATTTATTTTTACATCAGTGAAGGAGAGAGTAGAGGGAAAAGACACAGAAAGGGGGATGGGTGGGGCAGGAAGAGAACTCAGCAAGTTTGTGAAGAATCATGTGAGGTAGTGCAGCCAGTGAGAAGTCCTCAATAAAGGGCAAATGAAATGACTGACAAGCAATTTAAAGTTGTTCACCATGTGGGATCTGGTGTGGTCCTCTCTTGAGTCCCCTACATTTTAGCAGAAACAATACTACAAACAAAATCCTTGTTTTATGAGATCACCAAGGTGAATAGGCTGTGACTATGCCAGGGCAGAGATAAAGGAACAGCCACAAAGATGAGTACAGAGTAAAAAACTGACAAGAAAAAAAGCAGAGGTGACTGTGAGAACACAGGCCACCTGAATATTTTGGATTGATTTTGAAGTTGTTTGACTTTGACAATTCATGAAATTGGAGGCATAAAGGCAAATTGATTACATTTCATTTAGATCTTAAGGAATGAATGGAATTGTCACACATAATGTATTTGGGGAGGTTTTCATTGTGATTTTCTTTGTGCTTAAACATATATACCTACTATATATCTTCAATTTTGGTATCTCAACCAAGGAGTCTTAAAATTTCATGTTAGGAATTTTATTGTGTGGATGCGGCACAGTTTATAAAATTTTCCAATCATAGTACTGAATATTATCAATAATGTTTAGAAATTAAAGTTAAACTTTTGTCAATTTATTTTTTAGCACATTTCCTTTATGTAGTTTGATGCTGTGATGTTTGGCACATATAGGCTCTGTATTGTTGTTTTTCATATTGAACAGAGCTTTATTACTACAGAATTATAATTTCTCATTAAGTTTTCATGTGTTTCTGTGCATAGTTTTTAAAAATATCTTTGTTGAGCCATTAAAAATATTTTATATCATTTGATTAAGTATATATTTACTCTCTTTTAATGGGAATTTCAACAAATTACATTTATCTAATGGTTGCATTAATTATGAGTGTGAGCTTTTTTACTTTATATAAAAATTTTTAAGCATAGAAGAAAGTGGAAAGAATAATACAATAAAAATTTGCATAACTACCATATAGATTCTCAGTAATAATATTTTGCTATATTTCCTACATCTACTTTTCTTACTGACTTATTTCAAGTTATCTGCAGATATATCAATATCAGTACAGTTCACCCATAATATTTCAATATGTTTTGCAAGAGAATTTCTGTATAAATGCCTTATGTGTCACTTCTAATAAAGTTTTATATATAGGTATATATAATATAATACTATATATATATATATGTATATATAATATATAAAGTTTTATATATATAATTTTTTACATGGGGCAATACAGGGGAAAATATACTTTAAAATAACAACAGTGTTCATATTTGATAGCAGAATTTTGAGTGATACGTTTTTGCTTATTTTCCAGCTTTTCTCCATGTTTGTGTAGCTTTGGAATAACTTTGAAAAATAAAAGAAAACATATTAAAACAAAATTATTGACAGCTAATAATAGCAAGGAAAAGGGGCAAAAAAATTTTGTTTTTCACTCAAATGTAAAAATGACTACTGCTATCTTTTAAATGCTAAAAGGTTAGAGATTATTGAAATATAAGGATAAAAATATATTATAAAAATATAAATTTAATTGTATGAAATAATCCATTAACAATGAAATCTTAAACACTGAACAAAATAATAACTTACAGCATTTGTAGCTGTCCCCAGTCCATCATAATACATTACTCCTAGCTGGTAAGTTGCTTGATGATCCTTTTCCTTGATTTCTTCAAACTGTTCTAATGCTTCTTCATACCATCCCTACAAGTTCCCAGGAAATATAGAATTATTTTGTTATTATCTTAAAGATATCTCAGTTATTTAATTCCCACCTAAATCCTGCTAGTAGCACCAAATAAAACAACAAAAGACAGCAACAAATTTATGGAATTTACAAATAAGTCATTTACAATAATCAAACACACTATAAAGTAAATTAAATAGACCTAAATATGGCAACTGAGAGAAGTGACCAGGAGGAATCTGGGAGAGATCCCCTTTGGCTCTCACTCTTACCCTTGGCTATTTATTGTCAATCCTCTCTTGAAATGATAGTCTAGCCCTCTGCTCAATCTAGCTTGGCGCATCAGCTGCCACTCCTGAATTTTGAGAAATTTCAGAGCTGGGGCCAAAGTGTCAGAGAAAATTTGAACATCAGGATATTCACTATTATTAAATATCCTGTTTGCATTATGGCTTATGCCCTCCAGTTTTGCAGTTTTCCAGCTAAGGAGAAAATATGTTAAAACAAATATGTGGTTCTCTAAAATTATCTTTCTCCCATACTTCCTATAAAAACCTACATATTATGTGCCATTGATTTAAGGCTCTTCAGCAGTCAGACATTCTGATAACAAACATGTTAAGGTGTAAGGGGCTAATATGGGGTTTATATCTTAATCCACCATGAAAATCCACCATGCCTCACACTAAAAAATGAATCATTCGTAATGTGGAAAGAGGGTCTTTTACTGAATTGGACAGTCATTACTAGGAAGAGTAGGCCAGAGAAAACACAATAATAACTGAATTTCTCTTTTCATAAAGTATAATTAACAAATTGATAAATTAACAAAAACTGCACCAAAATACAAAAAAAAATTTATTTTAAAGAACACGTAACAGTGAGTAAATGCTTGAGTTGTTAAGACTCATTCTCCTTTCTGACTAATGTTTGGTTTAGATGTGAGAGGGCTGGAAAAGTTAGAATATACAAAGGAAGAGTAAGAAAGTTCTTTTAGTTTTCATGATTTTAAATGACATATACAACTCAAATATACACCTTCAACCCAAACTTCTCCTTTGAGATCTAGACTCTTACATATGAGGTTCTACTTTGAAAATCTGTCTTCTTGGATCACTAATGGGCATTTCAAACATAACATGTCTAAAAACTGAAATCTTGATCATCACCTCAAACCCATTCCTCCCCACTTCTCTATTTTTCAGTCTATTATGCCATTATTTTTGTCTCCAAATTAAACCAGGACCCAGCTCCAAAAAAAAAAAGGACCGGCCAAATGGCGCATTGGTTAAGAGTTGGCTTGGGACGCCAGCTCTGAGCAGCAGGGCCCGGTTCAGATCCTACATGAGGGCCAGTGACGCTGCGCTCTCTACAGCTAAGATGGTGAACAACAGTTCAACCTGGAGCTGGGCTGCCGTGAGTCACTGGTGATGGCATAGGCTGCAGTGAAGCTCAGTGGGCTGCCATAAGCTACCGTGAGTGGCTGGCAGCCAGCGTAAGCGGCCAGCAGCTGGTGTGAGCCGCCATGAGCGGCTGTCCAGTGGCCGGTGACTGATCTGCCTCACCTGGGAAGAGCACAATGATAATACCAACATGGGCCAGTGAAGCGACGTCCTCCACAACTAGACTGAAGAACAAAAGGACAGCAACTTGTTTGTTTCCCTTCCCTGATTCTCCAACGCTGTTCCTCTCCCCCAATTTCCCAATAAAATCTTTAAAGAAAAACAAAGAGATAAACAAACCTCACCTACAACTATTCTTTGCCTTGCTTATTACCACATTGGTCTCTCTCTTTTTTTTTTCCAATTTAATTTTTAAAGATCTTTATTAAAATATAGCTAACATACAATATTACATTACTTTCAGATGTATACCATAGTTATTCAACATTTATATACTTAAAGAAGTGATCACCAAAAAAAAGAAGTGATCACCATAAGTCCAGCAACCATCTGACACAGTACCACATAATCAAAATATTATTGACTATATTCCCTCTGTTGTCCATAACATCCCCATGACTTAATTTGTTTTATAACTGCAAATATGGACCTCTTATTCCCCTTCACTTTTTACTCCCTTTTTTAATTTTTCAATTACAGTTGACATTCAATATTATTTTTTATTAATTTCAGGTATACAGCATAATGGTTAGACATTTGTATAATTTAAGAAGTGATCCCCTGACTAGTCCAGTACTCACCTGGCATAATACATAGTTATTACTGTATTATTGATTATATTCCCTGTGCTTTACTTTACATCCCTGTGTGTATCAGTTTTTGCTTCTTAATCCCTTCACTGTTTTCATCCTGCACTCCAACCCCCTCCCATTTTCACCCCAACAAATCTAGTACCCATCTGCACCATACATAGGTATTACAATATTATTGACTATATTGCTTATGCTATACCCTACATCCCTGTAACTACTTTGTAATAATAAATCTGTACTTCTTAATCCCTTCCCCCACTTTTTTACTCACTCCCAACCCCCCTCCCATCTGGCAACCATCAATATATTCTCTGATTTTTGAGTTTGTTTCTGTTTTATTTTGTTCTTTAGATTCCACATATAAGCAAAATCACATTGCATCTGTCTTTCTCTGACAGTCCACTCAGCACAATACCCCCAGGTCCATCCATGCCACTGCAGATGGCAAAAATCCATTCCCATCCATGGAGGAGCAATAGTCCAATGTATATATGTACTACCTCCTCTTTATTCATTCTTCCATCGACAGAACCCAGGCCGCCTCTACATCTTGGCCACTGTAAACAATGCTGCAGTGAACATATGGATGCACACATCCCCTCAAAGTAGCATTTGGGTTTCTTCAGAGAAATACACTGAAGTGGGATTACCAGTCCCTTCTTTGTCTCTTGTTATAGCCTTTGGTTTAGTCTACTTTGGTATAAGTATTGCTACTACAGATTTTTTTGTCGTTTTCATTTCCATTTTCATGAAATATCTTTTTTGATCCCCTTACTTTCTATCTGTGTGTGTCTTTCAATCTGAAGTGAATCTCTTGGAGGCAGTGTATGTAAGGGTTTTGTTTTCTTATCCATTCAGCCCTCCTGTGTCTTTTGATTGGAGTATTTAATCCATTTACATTGAAAGTAATTGTTGATAGATATGTAGCTATTGCCATTTTATTATTTATAATTTTGATTTTTTTTTTCCATCTTAAGTCCCTGTAACATTCCTTGTAATTCTGGTTTGGTGATAACATTCCTTGTGATACTGGTTTGGTGATAACTTTCCTTGTAATACTAGTTAGCTTTTTTCTGTCTGAGAAGCTCTTTATCTGTCCTTCAATTCTAAATGATAGCCTTGCTGGGTAATCTTTGTTGTAGGCCCTTGGTTTTCATCACGTTGAATATTTTGTGCCAGTGCCTTCTGGCCTTCAAAGTTTCTGTTGAGAAATCAGCTAACAATCTTATGAGGGCTCCCTTATAAGTTACTAGTTGCTTTTCTCTTGCTGCTTTTAGGAGTCTCTCTTTGTCTTTAACCTTTCCCATTTTAATTATAGTGTGTCTTGGTGTGGGCCTGTTTGAGTTCATCTTGTTTGGGCTTCTCTGCGCTTCCTGGTCTCATCTGTCCCTTTGCCAGGTTAGGAAAGTTTTCAGTCATTATTTTTTCAGATAGGTTCTGAATCCCTTGCTCTCTTGTCTTCTCCTTCTGGTACCCTTATGATGTGAATGTTGTTACTCTTGATGTTCTCCCAAAGGTCTCTTAAACTCTCAAATTTTTTTTTGCATTCTTTTTTCTTTTTGCTGTTTCGATTGGGTGTTTTTTGCTACCTTGTCTTCCAAATCACTGATTTGATCCTCTGCTTCATCTAGTCTGCTGGTGATTCTTTCTAGGGCATTCTTCATTTCGGTTATTTATTCTTCACTTCTGACTGGTTCTTTTTTATGGTTTCTATGTCCTTTTTTATGCTTGATATCTTTTTGTTGAAGTTCTCACTAAGTTCCTTGAGCATCCTTATAACCATTGTTTTGAACACTGTATCTGGTCGTTTGCTTGTCTCCATTTTGTTTCTTTTTCTGGAGTTTTCTCTTGTTCTTTCATTTGATATGTATTTCTTTGTTTTCTCATTTTGGCTGCCTCTCTGTTTGTTTCTATGTATTAGGTAGATCTGCTATGTCCCCTAGTCTTGGCCTGGTGGCCTGATATAGTAGGTGCCCTATGGGGTCCATTGGCACAGTATTCCTGGTCTCCTGCTCTGGATACTCCAGGAGTGCCCCTTATGTGGGTTTTGTGTACCCTTCTGTTATAGTTGGGCCTTGGTTGCTATTGGTATGTCAGTGGGTAGGACTGACCTTCAGGATAATTGGCTGAGTGGTTGGCCATGTCCACAGCTTATGGGCTGCTGTGCACTGGGCTTACCCCACTGAGTGGGATTTGCCCCAGCTGGCTCTGGTGCCTGATGAGACCTCCCTTTGGGTGTGCCACTTGTGGGGCTAATTGTGTTGTGCTCTGCTGTGGTCTGAAGCCAACCTCCAAGTATGTTTGTTCTGGGGCCTCTTGGGAGGGGCTCTGGTGCAGGCCCAGGTCACCCACTGCCTGTGACTGGCTGGGGACTAGCTTCTAGGAGCTACAAAGCGATCCACAGTTGTTTGCTGCCTCTGCTAACCCAGGAGGCACGTGGGAGAGGTCACTCTGTGAACCGAGGACGGCTGCCACCAGTACTTGGCCTAGGGGAGCTCCTCAAAATGCCAGCACACCTTGAGGCCTGCTGCCACCTGCCAGCTCCATTAAGGTTCAGCCACTGATAAAGTCTCATGCAGTACACAAATTGGGTGAGGCAGGGTCTCAGAGAGTCATTAGGGTGGGAAGAGTTGTGGTCGCCAGGTTAATGTAAATTCTGGTTTGGTGGTGAGCCTGAAGCTACTCAGCAAAAGTCTCATAGCACACCGAGGCAAGTCGCTGCCCCCCTGGAATCTGTGGGACTCTAATAGTTTTCTAGAAATAGTGCAATGCAGGTGGGGCTGGCTGCTGTTGGAGAAAGTGCCTCAGGTGTTAGGGGAATTTGGTGGTGCTAGGTCCTAATGAGTTAGCAGGATGGAGCTGTGGAGATCACCAGACCAATCAGATTCAGATTTGGTCTGTCGGGGCAGGCTCAGCACAGGAAGAATGGCGCCCACCTGCCGTCTGCACAGGAGGAGGCCCCCTCACAGAGAAATGGCGACTGTTCTCCAGCCCTCAATCTGAAGCAACACAACTTAGTCTGTCTCCTGTATGTCTCTGACACCCCCTCGAGTTACTGAATGTTTCCAGTTGCTGTACTGGAGCCCAAGTAAGTGCCTGGGAGTGAGAAAATCTGTGCACAGGCTCCTTAAGAGGACGGTTGTGTTTCCCGCAGCCTTCCATCCCACTGAGATGGTCAGAATCCCCACTGTTTTTCACAGTGAGATGTTGTGGGGGCTCCTCTTCCCAGCACCAGTACTCCAGGCTGGGGAGGCTGGTATGGGGTTGGGGTCCCTTGCTTCTCTGGGGGTATCCTCTACAGCTGAGCTATTTCTCCTGGTTCTCAATTGCCACACGGAGGTTTGGAGCCAGCCGTTTCACATCTCTGCCCCTCCTACCAGTCTTGATGTGGCTTCTTCTTTCTTTCCTTAATTATAAAACTTCTGTTCAGCCAGACTTCAGATGGTTCTCCAGGTTGACTGTTCTATAATTTAGCTGTAATTTTAATTTGTTCATGGAAGGAAGCAGGCACCGTGTTTATCTACCCTGCCATTTTGGATCTCCTCCACATTGGTCTCTTTTAATTCCTAGAGCTCACCACGCTCTGTCTTAGCTCTGAAACATTTCATTTGTTCTCCCCTCTACCTGGAATGCACTTCTACCTGGTTGTTTACATTGCCTGTTTCCTTTTCTTCAAATTTTAGTTTCAACAACAGGTCTTTTCCACCCTATTTCTAAGTTATTCTCTATCATAGTATGCAGTTAATTGCTTTCACAGTAGTTTTCCTTTTTTGTAATTGTATATTAATTTATTTTCTTCTCCTATAGTAGAATGTAAACTTTATGAAATGGGAACCATTCTAATTCCCTCATCACTATATAGTTAGTGCCTAGCACAATAAATAACAAACACGTATAAAGCACATGTTAGGTGCTAGGCCCTGTTTTACAATAAATACAGCCTCTCAATAGCTCTGAGACACACATTATCATCCCCCTTTTACAGATGAGAAAACTGAAGCACCAAGAGGTTAAGTGTTTGTGCCCAAGGATAAACAGCTAACTGGCAATAGAACCATATTTGAAGTATGCCCAAAGCTTGAGAGATCATTCTCTTAACCATTATGCTATGCTGTACTACTAGTGGCAGATGCATGATGAGTCCTCAACAAATATTTGCTGCCAGAATGAATGAAGAAGCCATCAAATGTTAGAGAGTAAGTGGGATAGAGGTGCATAGTTCCCCAAATATTCAGTGAATGGTGAAGTATTAGGGACTGCTGGTCCCTTTTCACATTCTTCCCTTGGGTTCATTGAAGAATTGATGCTCTATTACTGATGTTGAAGTGACAGTTTGCACATCCTCCTAGATGTACCTCACAGGATACCTCAGTTTAATGTGGATAAAGAGGGCAATTGCCTGCTTACTCTACAGTGGAACATATAAGCTACCTTTAAATACTAGGTAAGAATCAGGATCTTCAAATATTATTACATGATATTAATTTGATAAATGATATTAAATATTTTGAGTAAAAATATAAAAATTAGATTTTCAATTTATTGTGTGGGAATGGATTTCATACCATAATGTTTCCTATAAATGACTTTCATTAGAACGACTTTTATGAAGAAAGGTCAGTTATGTCTTTAAGCTGGTACCAGTATATGACACTTACAGCCCCAACCATAAGCTATGGAATTTGACAGAATTTCCCTGGTATTACAATGTAAGGAATTCTACAGGGAATTTTGCTATAAGGATCTAAGAACAGCATTTCATGAAATGAAAACAAAACAAAAAATACCTCTTCAAAATATAGTTGTCCTCGTAGGAAATATGCCATTGCATCCCCTCTTCTCATTCTTTCCTTCAAGATTTGCAATGCCTGATCTATTAAATTAGCATGGTTGTAATGATCTGATTTAAGAAAGAAAGAATTCCATCTTTATCAATACAGTATGAATCTTCTCTCTTGAAGTAATAAATTATATAGATTATCTGACATTGTTTATACTAGTATCCAGCCTAGTTCTCATTCCTAAAACTGGCCTTCTTAGCTAAAGGAAAAAGCATTACCAAAAAAAAAAAAAAAAGGCAGTACCTAACACCATGTCTTGTATAATCAAGAAATATGTGTTGATTGGTTTTCAGAGTAACCCTATTTACCACTAGGCAGGTGCTCTAGCAATGCAGTCTATGTGCAATTCTTTAGGCACAGCTGTCCTATGGGTGAGTGAAATTCTTAATTTGAGGCTTAATTGGAGCTACTCTAACCAAATGAGCTAACCATCCCTAATTTAATTAAAAAAAAAATACTACAGAACAAAAAAATGGTAGCTTTAAATGCCAATTTCAAGTAAAGTATGGTATTGTTCTCCATAATGGAAGCAACATCTGGCTTCCCTTTTACAGAAAGGTGTCCTAAAATCCTGAGTGTAAAATCAGGATTGGGCTCTATGAAACTTCTCCACTGATGAGTTGCTACCAGATCAACTAAGTCATCATTTCACATATTCTTACAGGAAAGCTAGAAAGGTTAAGCTAAACTTAACCACTTCCTTGACAGCAGTAAGACTCATATTTCTTGTCTTTTTTTCCCTCTGGTGTACAGGATTAACTTTTAGTGAAAATATTATCAGAATTTGTACCAGTCTTGTCGGTGAATTTTTGTTTTTTAGCAGCATACTGGGATAGAGAGGTATAAAAGGGTTTCTTGGGCAACTTTTCACTGGTCAACTTCATCCTGTCTCCACAATGTGTATTCTGTAAACAAAAATAAAAAATAAGATAGAAATATGTTCTTTCAGAAAAATTCAAAGAGACTCCATTCCACTTTGCACTCGCAAAAAGCAACTTCTCTGCATTGCCTAAGGGATAGGGCACCAAATTACCAGCTCTGGGTTATGACTATTCCTTCTTAGGAAACCAGGACCCTTTATATAATAGTTACAGCCATCTTCCGCGTCTGCTTCCCCAGCATGGGATGAATGATGAGAGCTGTTTGCAGGTCCTCTCTGTGAGTTCATACACTGCCACGGGTCATGTCACCCACCACAGGCTGCTGCCACTAGTAGGATTTGGTGACACTGCCCATAGATATAGTTCTTATGCACTGGTACTTTTCTTTTGCCTTGTATCTGAAGCTCATTAGACATATCCATTTCACATTAAAACATTTGTCTATTTTACCTGGGAAGACACTTTATTTTAGCTCTGGTGTTTGATTCTCTCTTCCCATCTGTATTGGATTGCCATGTTATAAGATGGGTCACAGATAAATGGAAAATCAGAGCCTTCATATAAAATGTAGAGGCCACTTCATTTGGGATGAAGGAGTCCAGATGGGCCTAGGCTGAGGATAGTGAGATAGCAAACTCAGTTGTTGCTATGTTTTTTTGTTTACTCCTCGGCATTCTACTGTCACAGCTGGCTTTCACCAATCAGGGACAAGCTTCCAGTAAAGGTTCTTGATTGGCGGTGAAGAGAAGAACTCAGTCGACCTTTAGTGTGATTGGAAAGCTGCATTTATACAATTATATAATAAATTGCTTCATTAATGAGAATGAAGTGCAGAAAAAGAAGATAATTCAGTATATTAGGGAAAAAAATCTGAAATATCTGTGATTTTGGAATAGTCATTTAATCTCTTAAAGAGTCAATTTCCTCATGTGCAGTTTGGACTAGAGAATTTTAAAATGTCTGTTCCTTGATATGTAAAATTGTTTGATTATATAATTCCAAAAATATCACGGTTGCATTAGTGGCTATAAAAGTTTCCAATGAGCTGTACGGTGAAGTAATATTAGGTAAAGTATTTAGAACAAAAACAATCCAAATAAGATGATGTAGGTAGCACTATCAGTTTACTCAGAAACTGATTATAGAAGTTTTTATCTCCCTGAAGTCATTCAGTATACTCCTGGATCCAAAAAAGCTAAGAAAAAAACTTGGCATATTCAGGAAGGTCATCGGAAGTGAAACAAATCAGAAAACAATACCTTACCTCCTTTAAACCCATGCTGTCCTCTGTGGTTTCAACACTGCACATGGTTTTTGTAGCTGTAGCTTACAGGAAGAGTTGTTGAGTGTCTAGAAAATAAAAACAAAGAAATGCCAGGTATTGTTCTTTGTCCTAAGCACTTTATAGACACTAACTCATACAAACTTTATGAAATAGGGGCTATGATAAGGCCCATTTATGATATGTGGAAACTGAGGCATAGTGAAGAAGTAACTTGCCTCAGGTCATAGGGCTAGGCATTGGGACGGATGGGATGCCCCTAGCACCTGTGCACTTTCATCATTACACTGTTCTCCAAAAAGCAAAACTAATACCAGTTTTTTAAATGGCAGGACTCCGGCAAGAGGGTAAGCCAAACTTTAGTACTTTATAATTTCAGAAAATGAGAACTAAGAAGATTTTTAAAAGCAAGAGTATGTGTTTACTTTTTACTCCAAATCTTGAGATTGGATATAAAAATCACCTTTTGAAACTTGGCAACATGCAGTGAATTCAGAAAATTCTATAATATAAATTGTAGACATTAATCGATGATATAAAATCTGGAGAAACTGCTGATACAGAGTTAGGGCAGGGAAAACACAAGATGAGGCTGGAGCATCTTGTACTGCCAGAAAGCAAGGAAGTGCTCAAAAAACCAAAGGATAGGTGCATGTCAAAGGGACACAGGTGTCGACCTGAAGGAGCTCCCAATGGCCCAAGCTTATTGAATGACACAATAATGTATTGTTGGATTATAATTCAACAAAATAGATATCCATGAGTCCACACTGATATAAATGATTGAATAAAGAAATATGAAGGAAAAGACAACTGTTCCTTACAAAAGAATTCCAAACACTTCATGTACACAGTGATTAAAGGTGGCAAAGGTTTAACAACTATTCACAAAACTCCCTTTCCTTTGTGAAACTTACATGTGTGACAGGAAGATAACAGTAATTACCGGACTTAATGCATGCTGAACAGAATCTTGTTTTAAAGGAAAAGGATGTAATATGGAGGAACATGCATCACACAAATATCCCATTATATATTTTAACTGCAGTATATATGTTTAGAACTAAAAATTCCTGAAAACAGATATCTGCAAACCTGAAGCTTAATTATATGCTTTTAAAAACAGTACTTACATATCGCTTCTCGGCCTTTTGGCTAAGATCAAGTTTAAAAACAGTACTTACATAAAAGTGAGAAAATTGGCAATATAGGCATGTGACAACAATATCTTTGCAGTGGTATTCTTTAAATATCATTAAAAGGTATTGTGAATAGCTTAAATATAAACAATACAGAACAAAAGCATGGTTCTATATATGTGCTTGAGCATAAATATATATCCACATTTATGTTCAAGCATGCATATGAATAAAAATGTTTGAAACTATCCCTTGGATCAGTGCATTAGTATAGTATAATAAATTTATTACTGCAAAATTATTGTATGGCTCTTATTACAAAATAAACAATATGCTGTAACTAAAATTATAACTAAAAGGCCACTTACATTTAGAGATAAGAGCTTATCCTCTAGAAGCATAATAATATATATCTATTTTTTCAGTTCTGCTCTTAAAGGTATCAGTAGCTAGAAGGTACTAACTGAAGACTTTTTTAGGGAAAAGAAATATATGGCTGAAGAATGTTTTTAGCTAGATGAAGCTGAAAAAAGTGCTTAGGAAAAGATAGCCAAGAGATTGTCTATAGCTATAGCAGTCTATAGCTACAGTTTGAAGTCAGAAAGTCTGCTTCTCAAGTTTTACTAGAAGGAATGACTTAAGCTGAACATTATAAGGAACTCCGGGAGAGCCATTTCCCCCATCCCTGAATTTCCGCCTGAGCAGCGCAGAGTGGTCATCCCGGCCCATGGGGACGAGGAGCCCAATGTCGTAAATGTCCAAGGCCTGGGCCCCTTCATTTATCCAGGAACTTTCCCCACGAGTGTGAGGGCAAACAACCGTGTTTCCTCCTCCTTCATGCAGTCCCCGTCTCCGCAAGCTCAAGTTTAATAGTTTGGACTGGAAATTTCCCCAGGGGACAAGTCCACTAGTGTGCTTTAACCTATCTGCAGGAGGGGGCACATTACAACGGTTGGTTTATTTTATAGGATTTCCCATTGTGGGCATGGTATCATCTTAAACCCGAAAACCCGATGGGTCAGGTTTGATAAATCATTTAATTGGGGGAGGCAGCAGGACAAGATAGGGTGGTCCCAGTGGTAAAATCTATCCTCTTAGCTCATATACTGCCCCCCCCCCCCCCAGCTCTTGTTTTCCTTCCAAACTGTCCTGGGTGTGGGTGACTGAGGCAAGCCTGGGGCGATTTTGAACTTGAGGCAGAAGGAGCTCTCATTCCTTCCTCCGGAGCTCGGGGTGAGGTGGGGGTTGGGGGACAGGAGGCCGGCACCACGGGGAGCGGCTTCCAAAGGTGGTGCAGCACAACTCCTTATAGCTCCCTCGTTTCCTGGTTACGTGCGTGCTAGCAGAAACCCAAACCTTCCCCCCACGACTCCCACTTCTCCACAGGGAATAAAGGGCTGGGCACGCTGGTGTCAGACGTGCCAAACTCAGCGCGCGTTATGGATGCTGCAGAAACCCCACAATTCCAGAGCCTGCCCTGCATGGCGCACGCGTACTGGGGCTTCATGGCGGGGGTCCGGTGGCTAGGGCCCCGCCCCGAGATGGGAGGGCCTGGCATCTCCCAGATGGCCAATCACGCTGCTTCCTCCTCCCTCCTCCTGGGCAGCAGCGCCAGGTCTGGGGTTGCACGTGTCAGTGTTTGTGTACGTGCGGCAGCCGCTGGGCGGGTAAGGGCCCGGCGGCCAAAGGTTAGGCTGCTGGGACGCTGCCAGAGCTGGAGCGCGGCGGTGAGGGGCCGGCCAGCTAGCCTCAGCGATCTTTAAATTCTTTCCCATGTGGGCGGCTTGTGCATGCTTACCTGCCAGTCTGCAGCGAGTTCCACTCCGCTCTGCACGCCCAAGGACTCCTGTCCGCTGCTGTTAGGTGGAAATGCTGTTGCTTGATTGCAACTCAGAGGTGAGACTCGAACCCCTTTTCTCCTACAGGCTTCAGTTTCCAGATGTTTGTCTTCTCAGGCGCGTTAGTGAGGGTGAAAAGGGACTGACCACTCGGCGCTTGTCGAGTCAAGTCTCTTCCGAGTTGGGAGGTCGAAAACCATGAGGGCGTGGGACTGGACAAAGCTGGAGCTGTTCTCTTCCCGCAGATGGATAGTTTGAAGCATCTATTGGAGACCGGGGACTCAGTCAACGCACCCCCAAACCCCTTCGAGCAGTCGCCTGTCCACTTGGCCGCGGGTGGCGGCTGTGCTTGCTTTCTCCTCTGGCAGCTGCAAATGGGCGCTGACCTCAACCAACAGGTAACTAGGTAACCGATTGTTACTGTGTGCAACCCTCCCTTCCACCCCAAATCCACACAAACATGTTTTAGACGCCAAAATAGTCCGTTGTTACAGTTGTTATAAACATATCCATGGCAGCAATCTCCAAGAGAAATACACGCGTATAATACAAGACACATAAGTAATTTAAAATTTTTTAGTAGCCACCTTGAGTAAAACGAAACATGAAATTAATTATAATTTAACCCAGTTTATCCAAAATACTATTTCAATATGTAATCGATAAAAAACATTATTGATACTTTACATTTTCTTTTCATAGGTTTTCTCAATCCAGTGAATTTTCTCAATTCAAACAAGCCATATTTCAAGTGCTCATTAAACATATGGCTACTACTGGCTATTACATTGGACAGCATACACAGGTCTACTGTTTATTTCTAAAGGAACAATTACAACATTATCAAATTAAAAGCCTCAGTATAGCAATTGAAACATTTGTGAGGCATGCTCACAACCATTATAGTTTCCTACAGAACTCTTATGGTGGTGTACATCTTCACTGAATATTAAAGTATGGCGAATTTTAAATTGTACATTTTTTTTACTTCCTTAGAACTCTTATTTTGCTTTTACTCACTTAAATTTTAATGTATGTGGCTGCACACATTGTTATTCATGAAAACTTTGTATTTAATAGCATACCAAGTGAAAAAACAACTTGGAATTAAAAAATTCAGTCTAGTATAATGCAGTTTTAACATACTCCAATAGCTTTCTCAAATAATAATTAGACCTCACCCACCAACTTCCACAAGAAAGTGTTTTGGGGAGAGACTAAAATGTGTTGTCTTATCTTTAAGGATGTTTTTGGAGAAGCTCCACTACACAAGGCAGCAAAAGTTGGGAGCCTGGAATGCCTTAGCCTGCTTGTAGCCAGTGATGCCCAAATTGAGTAAGTATAAACTCTGGCTTTAAATTGGATTAAACTGATCAGACTCCTTAGCTTAATTACATGTGCTTTTAAAAATGATGCTTGCTAATTGGTAATTTAGTGTTACCATTTAAATGTTAACTCAGGTTGTTAATATCTGATACTATTCAGTTTGTGTTAAGTAAAAAAAATGGATCCTGAGCAATCAGAGATGCAGTTCTGCTCATCTATTATGGCAGTGTCACACCTTGGTTTTGGTTTAGGAAAATCCATTCTATAGACGTTCTCATGGATTTTCTTTGGGTACTTATTCATTGTACTGAACACAGAATCCTCTTTCATTTACTGAAAACTGGAATACTCACTCTGTGCTGGACTTTGCTAGCCACAGAAGATAACAATAGTGAGCAAAAATGGAATTTCTCTGTTTCCTTTATTTCTTCTGTTCTGCAACCAACATTAGTATGAGCCCAAAGCTCCTTTGTTAGTAAGATATATGAAAAAAAGAGGGGAAAAAAAGGCTAAACAATTAAAACAATTGTTAATTTTTATTTAACTCAATTTTTGTCTTAAATTCAGTTTATGTAATAAGAATGGGCAAACAGCTGAAGATCTTGCTCGGTCATGTGGATTTCCAGATTGTGCCAAGTTTCTTATGGCAATTAAATGTATGCAGACAAAAAAATCAAGTGAAAGATCCGATAGAGAGCATTGTGTTCCAGTGCTCAGTCAGAAACGGAGTTTCGGAAGTGCAGAAGATATAAATGGAAAAAGGAAGTGTTGGTAAGTAACTCATAGTTTCTTCTTTCCTCAAGGATCTCTTATTTAGCACAGAATTTATTGTTCTATTTGAATATTGACAGTCTTATTTCTAGTATATCTTTTTGTTCTCATTAACACATTTTAATACTGATCCTAGAGACCAAAATTTGTGCTGCATGGAAGAAGGTTGGGGAGATAACCATTTTTAGTTTTTAATATTAATATGTTTTTTAACAACAGATGTCATGTTGGTTATGAAGAGGTTTGAAGAGGCCTTCACTTTGTGCAAATCTGCTGCTTAGCTACAAGCTGTGGCTTTTGGCTCATCAGGTGTTTCCAAACTCCTTCTGAGAAGGAGGAAAACTTTCTTCTAAGTGAAGATAACATTTAAGAATACATGTATTTACATGCCTATACTATTTTGGTTGTGCATGCTTTGTCTTTGAAGTTATTAAAGGAATGTCTAAAGAATAAATTCTTTTTTGTGTGTAGTATTTACAACTTTTGAAAAAAAAATCATAGGTTAAACCATCAAACTACACCCAAGATTTAATTTGAAATTAAACATTTTATTAACAAATTTATAGTCAACTTTACTACTGTCTTTGAGTCCAAGGTATTTTAAATAATATTTGGTCGTTGAGGAAGACATAGGTTATAGTAAGCATCCTTGCTCCAAAAGTCTGGGCCCTTCCATCCGCACCAGCCCTACATTGGGAGAAGGGAAAGGAAAACATTTTACTAAGTTACAGGACTACAGGATCAAAATTGTAACATTTTATAATTCTGCTCTGTCGGCAGGATCTTGGAATAAGACTCTAAATTACCTATATAGTTCAAAGATTTGACTCCCTATAAAGCATAGAAAAGTAACTTAGTTGGGTCCATTTCAGATAGAATTAAAAAAATTTTTTTTAAATTCTATGGTACTGAATCATATAAATCATAAAAGAAAAGCTTCCTTATGGTAACCATTACTCCAAATTCCATATTTTAATGATTCTAAGATATATAGTTTTACAAGTCTATCAGTTGATGGCATGTGATAGTTTAACTGGCAGTCTGTTTTTCTTAGTAGCTTTTAAAAGACTATAATGATATGTTCCATGCAGAGGCATCTTAGCTATGAGGAAATATGGTAGTGAGAAATCTGAGCTTGCCCTTTGAATTGCATTCCATACCCTTCATTTTCCTCAGGCTATCATCATTCCACTTTCCATTCTTCATATCAGTATCCATCTTTTTCCCTAGCCGAGAAAATGACTTTCAAACAAAATCTCACTGTGAATATAAAAGTTTATCAAATTTCTTCTAGGGCAATGGATTTATTTTCTTAAGACTCACCTAACACCTACTCTGTTATATTGTTCTGAAATGAAGTGCTTCGTTTACAAGATACTTGTGAGGAGGCTAGCTAGGGCTCTTAAAATACCACTGAGTGACAAGTGGTGGTCTTATTCCTTACCCTGACTGACTCAGAAGCTGCAGGGTAGGATATTCTAGCTGAGACCTACAGCCAAAGTTCATAGCTCCTACAGTAGATAGTGTGTTAGCTCTGTTTTTTAGTGTGGAGGCGTGAGGGTTGAGTAGAGATGATCTTTAACTTTTTCATGTTTCTTTTTCTGATTGCAAAAATAAGATATACATTGTAAAAATTCAAATGAGATGAAAGTAAAAAACTTACAAAAATCTTCCCCCAGTCCTACTGCCCCTGCTCCCAGCCGCTAAGTTTGGTTTATTGTCTTTGAGACCTGTTTCTATACATAAATAAGCTTATTTTTAGTATCTAACATTTTAAGCAAAACTTTTAATAAATTTAATGTCCTAAAATCTGTTTTCTGAATGATAAATAGAAAAAAAAAAGGCTTATACTATCTATGTTTAATCTTTTTGTGATCCTTTTACACATGTAGTCCAGGTAAACAGACTCAAGTTTTTTTTTTTTTTTTTTTCTTTTTTAAGAGAAGTGGGTAGAGAGAGTGCCAAAACCAGAAACTGATGGGAGGAGACAGGGGAGCCACGCTTCTTTTCTTTGAGGTGACTGGCCTGGGAATGTCAAACAGGAAAAGTTCCACAAGAGGGTAAAAGAGGCAGAGGCAGAACGTTCCCTCAGAATACAGACTGAGGTGCCTCCAAAATTCATATGTTAAAACCGAATCCCCAAAGTGGTGATATTTGAAAGCAGGGTGTTTGGGAGATGAAGAGTCATCACATCACAGCCCAAATAGTGAGGATCACTGCCCTTGGTTTATACTGTCTTTTGTTAACAGCCAGCTTACCATCCTCTGGTTCTGGGTTCTTTGCCTTGTATCTAAATTTGTACTAAATAGATATTTACCTTTTCCAAAATAACTTGGAGATCTTCAGCCCCTGTATAATGTGGATCTAAAATCAGAAATTTGATCTGCCCTGTAACCTCATTCCATGCAACTCCTAGGATTGTGTGGGCCAAAACTCCTCCCCCTATAGAAGAGGAAATATGAAGTATAAGACGGCATACGTTAGTAACTTCCTATTCAATTTCAATTTCAAAAGATTGTTTTACCTATTGATCTAACAGCATTAAAATTGACTAGCCTACATTGTGTCAAAAACACTCTGAAAAGATACAATTACATCTGTAAGACAGAAAACATACCTGTAATCATATGAGGTTTATATCCATTGCCATATCTATGAAATTACCTAAACTGGATTTAGAAAGGGCCATAGAAGGTCTAAACTCTTCCCAACAGAGTAACAATCACTGCTGTGGTACCACTCTTTAACAGATGTGCTGCCTCTGCTCTGAGTACCTCCAATAATACAGCTATCCACTCATTCCATTCTTTCTGATATTCTGCTGAAATCTGCCTCCCTCCATTTCCTACACTCCTCTCTTAACTTGCCTTCTGTCATCACAGGACACGTCTTGTTCCTCACAGAGTTATGAATCTTTAGATCAGCTAATCCAATCCTTTTATTTTACAAATAAAGCCCAGAGAGGTTAAGTAATTTGCAATAAAGTAACACAGCCAGCCAACTTAGTGACAGAGCCATGACTTATGCTCAGTAGAGTGATGGTCACTTCTTTTCTATACTGCTTTCAGCTCTTTAAATATATGCACACAGCTATTTCTCTTCTTAGCCTTTTCTTCTGGTGATTATAATGTTTTTTTGTAACTTTCCTCCTGCCTTGCAAATAAATATCCAGAGGACAGTCTGTATAGTATAAAAGCTAATTTTAAAATGTTTAAAAATGACTGATTTTACGTGCCATTAAATATTTATGATACTGGTTTTACATACTCTCCCCTCTACCAAAGGAGCCCAGGATGTCCGAAACACCGTACCGATCATTACTGGAGTGCCTTCACTCTGGAAATGATGCGCCAGTTCCCGTCCTTGCGAGGCCATTTCAGAACCTTGGCTAGAAAGAAACCATTTTTATCAGAAGAATTATTTCTAACACTAAGGTCAAATAATGAGTTTAGGACCAATGTTTTCTACCTTTTCGTTTTCTGGTTACTGAAAAAAAATAATATAAATTTAAATTAAGCGGTATGGAATTGACTGAGAGAGCAACTTAAAGCAACATACCTTTCTAAACAGGTAAGGCCAGTAAATGTGCTAGGGAAGAAGCGAGAAGCCCTCGATTCTTCACTTCTGGGACTGCATACAGGTCTCGGCTTTTTAATATAAGATTGAAACTGGTCACCTTGATGCCCAGGCGTCTTTTATAGGTGGATTTAATTTCAAAAGAACGAGTTTTAATCCCTGGGTTCTCGTTTTCTTGCTGTCAGCCTCTGAATCTGCATTTCCTCATTTTTAAATTGGGATAAATAATACCTGCCCTGTCTACATGACAGGAGAGTCTAGGACTAAAATAGACAAAGTCTGTAAAGCCAATGTGAAAATTACAAAATGTTTTCAAGTACAACCTATTATTTTTAGGGAATATTTCAACGTCCTATACAATTTGTACTTTTGAGAAGAAAAAGAAAGATGGACGGGTGAAGGGAGATATTTTTTCAGAATGGAGGTGCTAGGGGATGCTAAGCCTTAGCTCTTGCTTAGTAAGGAACGTACAATGTTTTAATGTGCCAAAACTTTCACTTTTTAATCACCATATGTGTCACTACTTAATCTATCATTTATTTGTTAGCACTGATTTCCACAGCCAACCCAAACTGCAATTGTGAAACCAGATGTATTAAAGTACTAAAGACAAATAAGGATAATGTTACTATATTTATCAAGATTGTCGTAATAGAAAATGTATTTAAAACATAGGTTCATAAAAGGATGAAGCTAGCTGTTGCCATAGAAATCAATCTAATATAGATTTGCTCATATTTTACTGTTAGAATTATGGTTAAGCTAGAGTGGAAAAAAATGTAATGAATATATTATTTGGACATATTAGTTTATTAACATCTTACGAAGAAAAAGCAGGAGGGAAACAGAAAGGCCATAGATCAACATTTGATTTTTTTTCAAGACTTTTTAAAAACTTGAGCATAAAAAAACTTGATTTTCTATAACTACACTCCAAGTTGACATATTTCCAAGTTTTTCTCTTCTCAGCTAAAATTAGGCCCTGACCATATAAGTATATATTACAGAGTTTACTCATAAACTCCAAAGTCTTCTAAAAATTAACCAAAAAAAATTTAGGGTTAAGAAAAATGAGATTTATAAAGCAATGAGGCAATGTGGAGGAGAGGAGTGAAAACAAATGCAGGGAAAAGGTAATTTTTTGATTATTTTAATAAAATGACAAACTTTGAAATGATTTCTCTAATTTTCTTAAGTGTCCTTACCTGACGAATAGTATTTTTGAAGTGATACCAATCAGCTGGTTCAGTACCAGTTGTACCTCGATAGATCCAATCCACTGCCGTGATCCGACAAATGTGGCTGGTTTGTCCCCAGCATCAACCAGAGCCTTTATGTATTTAAAAATACAAAAAAGTCCATACATAATACAGCTATTAACAATTACATTTAGGTAATTTTCTCTGATTACCAGCATATTTTTTTCCTTCAAAACAAGTCAGTACCATGAGATACTAATTATTAGTGGTAGGGGCCGGCCGAGTGGCGCATTGGTTAAAAGCTGGTTTGGGACGCTGGCTCTGAGCAGCAGGGTCCCAGTTTGGATCCCACATGAGGGCCAGTGATGCTGCGCCCTCTACAGCTAAGATGGTGAACAACAAACAGCTCGACCTGGAGCTGGGCTGCCATGAGTCACTGGCGACGGCATAGGCGGCAGTGAAGCTGCAGTGGGCTGCCATAAGCTACCGTGTGTGGCTGGCAGCCAGCGTGAGCAGCTGGCAGCTGATGTGAGCTGCCAAGAGCCACCGTGAGCATCTGTCCAGAGGCCGGCGACCGATCTGCCTCACCCAGGAAGAGCGCAATGATAATACCAACATGGGCCAGTGAAGCAACGTCCTCCACAACTAGACTGAAGAACAAAAGGACAGCAACTTGTCTGTTCCCCTTCCCTGATTCCCCAGCGCTGTTCCCCTCCCCTAATTCCCTAATAAAATCTTTAAAAAAAAATATTAGTGGTATATGAAGGGCTAATGAAATGTACAATTGATTATAATTTGAAATGGCATGTTCTGTACCTGCTGAATTTCTCTATGTGTTGGAATGGCTCTCTCTGTGTATCCTTGGTGTTTGAACCAAGAGCAGATAGTCTGCAGCGATCGATAAGCACAGCCCCAGCCATTGTCATCTATTCGATCCTGCATATAATGATGATAACCATATATGCCCTGGACCACATAAATCTATAAAAAAAGAAGGAATATAGTAAAACATTAACTTAAGATAGATGCACATGTATTCTATATACACCTGAGTTAAGTATACTGTATGCAGAGCTAGACTGTGACTTTAGTTCCTTATAAAAATGCCCTCAGAGAATGCCAGTTGAACATTATACCCTCTTGGCTTTTGACTAAATGTCTCAAGTCCTCACCAAAGGATATAACGCCTGTCAAGTCCTGCCTGCTGGCCTCTTTTCTACCTTCATCTCCTACCACTTTCCTCTGTTGCTCGCTCTGCTTTAGCTTCCGATCTGCCAGGGACACTTTGATATCAGAGCCTCACAGTTCTCTTTGCCTGGAATACTCTTTGCCCATATAATTTTAGAGCTTGCACCCTTACTTCACTTAGGTTTCTGTTCAAATATCAAAGGTCTTTCCTGATCATTCAACTTAAAAATGGCATGCTCACTCCCTCACCACCCACCTCTGCTCTGGCTGTCACTCTTTGTACTGTTTAATTTTTTATTTTCAAAACACCACTACTTGGCATATTATTATTTAAATGTCTCCCTACCACACTAATATGTAAATTCAATAGGGTGCACACTATGGCTTATTTATTTCTGGGCTCAACCTTCCACAGTGGCCCTGGCAAACAATAGTCAATAAATGTTCATTGAATAAATGATGGATGAAGGAAGGAAGGAATAAAGGAATGAAGAAACAAATGAAGGATCCATACAATGGGACATATAAAGAATGTTTCAAGGGCCGGCCGAGTGGCTCAGTTGGTTAAGAGCTCACTCAAGAGTGTGAGCTCTGAGCAACTGGTTCGAGTCCCAGCCCGAGCTGAGCAGCCGCTGAGCTGCCAACAGGTAGCAGGATGGCTCAGCTAAAAAAATATATATATATATTAAAAATATAAATAAATAAAGAACCTTAAATAAGGGCCATTATCATATAAATTATTTCTTGTAGTATAATGCTAGGAATACACATCTTTTTTGACAAACTAGGTAAGAAGAGTTGTGGACAAATATAGAATCTTTACCGAACAATTACAGAATATATATTCTCAGGCACACATAGAAAATGTATAACTAGACAATTATGGTAGGCTGATAAATGGTCCCCAAAAGATATCTACAGCCTAATCACTGGAACCTGTGGATGTTATCTTAAATGGAAAGAGAAAAATGTCTTATGATGGGCAGATTTTCCTGGAACTATCCAGATGGGCCCGGAATGCAACCATAAGTACCCTTATAAAAGAGAAGCAAAGGGAAATTTGACACAGAGAAGGACATATATATAGTGTAAAACTATTTTACAGAAAGAAAGTGAATGATGGGCCGACTGAGTGGCGCGTTGGTTAAGAGTTGGCTTGGGACGCCAGCTCTGAGCAGCAGGGCCCTGGTTCGGATCCCACATGAGGGCCAGTGATGCTGCCCTCTACAGCTAAGATGGTGAACAACAGCTCGACCTGGAGCTGGGCTGCCATGAGTCGCTGGCAAAGGCATAGGCTGCAGGGGGGCTGGCCGGCAGCTGGCGTGAGCTTTCCTGAGCTGCCATGAGCCACCGTGAGTGGCCGTCCAATGGCCGGCGAGTGACTGCCTCACCTGGGAAGAGCGCAATGATAATACGCAACAGTGAAGCAACGTCCTCCACAACTAGACTGAAGAACAAAAGGACAGCAACTTGTCTGTTCCCCTTCCCCGATTCCCCAACACTGTTCCCCTCCCCCAACTCCCCAATGAAATCTTAAAAAAAAAAAAAAGTGAATGATGAATGTAAGGCTTAGTATAATAGTTCCTCTTGCGAGGCAGAGGAATACACAAGTCAGACTGGTAAGGTTTTAAATCTTAAACTGGTTAGGCAGTTCTCCAGTATTCATTTCCCTATTATGCTTTACAATTTACATGTATGTACATATCAAATGTTATATAATATTAAAAAATATATAAATGCTTCTTGTATCTAACAGAAGTAATGAACCCATCTAGTTGTCAAAACTCAATCAGCATTTACTCAGTACTTTCTGAGTGACTAGGTACTTTGTAAGAACTATTAAGAATTAAAACTGAATATATGATATAGTATCTACCCTAGAGGAGTTTCACATATAGTCTGAGAAAACATTTATGTCACAATCTACTAGAAAACCATCAAGAGATACATTGTTTGACACTCTTAACTTTGTATTTCTTATTCTATGGTTCTGTGACTGACAGAGCAAAATTTTTAACTAGAAATAGGTCTCTCAAGATTTCCTCCTATGTAAGCAAAATAAGTGACATCTCATTTAATAATGCTGAAATGTTGACTAAAGGCTCGTTTGTATACATGTAACAGTGAGTGCCCAGACCAGGTCTTTCTATGAGAAGCTGGTCTGCCCATAGCTCTTGGAGATGGAAGTGATGGCATGGACTAGCAGGGGGCCCCTAACTCCCCTCGGGTACACACTGAATCATACAGTCATGTTTAATTCTTAAAATTTCCTTACAAAGCGCCTGGAGACTCAGCAGGTCTTGAATAAAGGCCAAGACAAGATGGCCAGTCAAGTTTTCTCTCTCGGGAATTTGAATTGAGAGGTGCGGAGGGACTCAGGCAGAAACGAGCAGGGAATGAAGCTGACCGGATGCACACTATGAGGAAGAGTAGGGAAAAGTTATACAAAAGCTGAAACAATGAGGAAACAGAAGCTGTGAGACTGAGAAAAGAGTAAAGGGAAGGAACAGGCCAGTGAGGATCAAAAGCATATATAGAGAAAGCAGCAGAAGTGCCATCAAGGAGTGAATGGAGGCCTGAGACTGAGGCAGAGCCTTGTCCTAAGAGGCCCCGCTGTACAGGTATTCCTGTTCTTGGATGCCCATGAGATCTTTACTTACTGGCCCACATGGATCCTTAAAGGAACCCTTCCCCCAGGCTCCTATGTGAGCGACCTTCAGTGAAGATCTGCCCTTTCCAACCAGGTACGTGGTGCACAGAAAACCTGTTGCAGTGCCTTATTAGACTTCTGCTATAGTGTGGTTTGGGTAGAATATGCCCTTAATTAGCATTTCTCAGGTTCCGAATGAAAATAAAATGGGACAAGACTTTAAAGAAATTAGGGAATGGAATTTTAGTAAGAGATATGTGGTATGTAGTTCCTAACCTTTGTAGGCCACTGTGACTGACTGCTATTTTAAGCAATGATCATTGAAAGAAATGGATGGTAAATTATGTTTTAGGGATGATATACATTATGACTCGATCCCTCCAAATTCCACTGGGCACAAACAAATAATTAATGATGTTAACGATCAATTGACTCAATTTATTTAATAATAAATAATTATTATACTCACCATACCAGTCTCTATGTTAGGTGGATTGAGATAAGCATGTGGATTTCTAATGTAACCGTCCTTGTATGGTTCATCTGAAAAGTGATAAGCATTAGACCTTTTGAAATAAGGTCTGTCATGAGGCAGATTGAAGAGATCATGTAACTCCTAAATGAAATCAGAATCAGTAGGAAAGTTAAATGATTTAGATTCCTACTCAGTAAAAAACTCAAATTAAAAGTATAAAACAGAAAATTAACTACATATTGAGTTAGCAAACACTCATGATTTAATCCACTGAGGACAAAGAGGGTGAGAATAAATTAAAACCAAACAAGATTTATTTATCTTATCTATGTATATGGGTAGAAACTGAAAGGGAACATAGAAAAATGAAAATAATTTTTTAAGAATGAGAGAACTGAGATATTTTTAAATTAATTATTTATTATAACACAGTCTGTTAAAATACATCCAGGATAAAGACTGGTTTTGAAACAGACTTGTAAATGAGTAAATTATAACTAACAATGATATAATTATATCAAAATATTTTGAAAAATCATGCTTAGAGTACTCAACAAATATAAGGGGTAGTGATTAAATTACAGAGTAGAAACTGATGGTATGATACCAACCAATATGGCATCAAAATAAAAATATATTTAAAATACATTTAAAATGCAAAAATATTCCCAATTGTATAAAAATACATAATAGTGGGCCGGCCGAGTGGCGCAATGGTTAAGAACTGTCTTGGGATGCCAGAGGGCACTGGTTCGGATCCCACATATGAGGGCCAGTGACACTGCCTCCATAGCTAAGATGCTGTACAACAAACAGCTCAACCTGGAGCTGGGCTGCCGTGAGTTGCCGGCAACGGCTTAGGCTGCAGCCCCTGCTGCAGTGGGTTGCCATGGGCTACTGTATGTAGCCAGCAGCCAGCATGAGCGGCCAGCAGCAGCAGTGAGCGGCTGTCCAGAAGCTGGCGACTGATCTGCCTCGCCCAGGAAGAGCGCAATGATGGTGCCAGCTTGGGCCAGTGAAGCAATGTCCTCCACAACTAGACTGAAGAAAAAAACGACAGCAACTTGTCTGTTCCCCTTCCTCTAATTCCCCAGCGCTGTTCCCATCCCCCCAATTCCCCAATAAAAAAATCTTAAAAAAAAATAAATAAAATACGTAATAGTTACTTCGAAAAGTTTGACATTTTCTTTTACATGTCTCCTGTGTACTCTAGCAGTTTGAATGGGACCATCAGCTCATGTCACTGTTGCCTCTGTAAATAAATTTCATCTAGCACTTACAGAGAGGTGCAGAGGTTTCCATCGTTATACCTTTTCTCAGGGACAGAGATTACTGGGTTGTCAGAAAAGTCACGATGTATTTTTTCTATGTTTTTCGTTGCAAAAATGTGTCATGACTTTTCTGACAACCCAATAGAAAGATGCTCCCATGGTATACTTTGATGGGTGCCAGGAAAGGCCACTTATCAAAAATAAGTACTCTAAAACCAGTCATTTTGCCAGTAAATCTCATTTTCTTGAATGCTGATCATGTTTTCTTAAAATGCCTCTAATAAAACCCAAATAACCTTGAAAACTGGGAGATGGAGTATTATTATAAATCCTAATTAGAATTAGCATAAATCCTAATTTCCCTTCCCTAACTGTAATCTTGTCTGTGTCACAAATCTGAAAGTAATGGAAGGAATTTATTAACATTCATTCATCAGCTGCTCTAGGTATGTAAGCATCTTTTCATTGCTTTATTTCATAATGGAAAAATAAAAAATGTCATAGAATATATAAACCACATTGAACATATAAAATTAAAATGTTACATATGGGTTCAACGTAATGTCTTTTCATTCATAATACTTAAAAAAGAAGTTCCAGGAGAACAGAAATTAAATAATATATAAAACTAATACTCTGTTTCCACACTTTAAAATTAAATCCTAAAATAATTTCCAGTTACTAGAAATATATAATGAAATATAAAATGAATGACAGTCATTTTTTCGAAAAATAAATGAATTGGTCTTACCTTTCTATAGGCCTGCAGCTGACCATCTGGAATTCCTGATGGATATGAAATTGTTACAAGATTTTTCTCCCCTGGTAATAAAAAGTGCAGTGGTTCGGGGACCACAATAGATGTTCCTTTCATGTATTTCAAAATGCACTTTTCCATATCAGTTAGTTGATTATGAATTGCATCAACTAGATGTTTACGAACTCTGTGGGAGGAAAACATACAAGTGCATTAACAAAAGTTGCAGTGGCTATGATAAAGGAAAGTATGGAGTTACTGTATCCCTAATATATTAAAAAAACCCAAAAAACCCCCAAAAACGTGATTGGATCAAGTTTATTAAAGGAAGTCTAAATTATGAAAAGTTAAGTAAACTCAATGTTTCCCCTGTGTAGATAAAGCAAAAACACTATAGGTTTTGCAGCCTACCCTACTTCTTCCACATAAACATTTAATTACCAGATGAGTCTTAGTTTAATAATAAACAAGTAGTAAATCATAGTAAAAATAACAACCACTATCATGGATAGACCTGTATGATACTTAAAAGTGGACTCTGATTACTTTGGGGAAGGGTCCTCATTTAAATGTGGAAGAAGTATTATACTATAAAATACTTACTTTCCCCATGTTTCCTCCGGAGCAACAAATACAACTGCATCAACCGGCAAAGTCATGGTAACATAGTGGTGTCCTCCGCTTTCTCTTTCAATGATGGGGGTTACGGCTGCCAGAGAGGTGGACATTTCCAGCATAAGATCTATATTTACTATTCGTTGCTATAAAGATAAACAGTGATGGTCAACTTATAGCACAGTGAACACTAAATATTAAGGGTAAGTAAAAGGACTTTCTAAGGACCAAAGCTATATTACGGTAAATTGTTTAAAAGCTCAAATCTTAACAAAAATTCGTCTCTGCTTCAAAACAATATGAGGAGAAGTGGAGAGTGAGTAGGGAGAGAAGATGAAATCAGATTGGCCATATATAGATAAAAGTTAAAGCTGGTATAGGTTCACCAGGGCTCATTACATTATTCTTTCTACTTTTGTATAGACTTAAAAATTAAAAACAAAAATCAAATGAACAAGATGCAATAACCACACGTTAAAGGAACTTTCAAGCTATATACTCCTGCTCTAAAGACATAAAGAACTACAAATATTGAACTCTATTAGCAGGGTTGATTTTGACAGTGGTATGGAATGATTCTGAAAATACTTTTTATATATTGAACAAATTTAGCAAAATCCTGAGGAATCTGGAAGTCAGTTTTCTCACTGGGAAAAGGTTAGGAACTGTGCGAGGCTGAAATAGAACTGGAGGTATAAATATGATTTACATAAATAAACGGGAATGTATGTGTTATGTAAGTGTGTGTATATATATATATGAATAGAATGGATGTATAGATGTGTATACTCCTGGAGAAATGGGTGGTTCTTGAGTTGGAAGAGGGAAAGCATATCATGTGCCTGGAACAGCTTGTGGAAGAAGGCATGACATGCTCAAAAATATGGTTTCAAAACAAACACTGGAACTAAATTGAAGAAGTCGCTGTTGGCCAAATCTTGGAAAATGTGAGCATCAAAATAACTAATAATAGTAACAGATTATAACTCTATGCATAAAATAAGAATCCATGCTTCTGTGCAGATAAGCAATAGATAAATAGGGAAAAGGAAAAGCTCTCCTCACAGTATAATGTCATCTAATAAATACAGAAGGAAATGATAGACTTAGAAAAATCACTACTTTGTAGCCATTAGATCAGTGTTGGATTCTGGCAAAAATTATCAACTGATGCTAGAAGTGGTAGGTAAAAATTTGATGAGGGATAGGATATATACATAGTCTCGAAGTATTTTCCCATGAGATACTAATTATAAGGTGAAAAAATAGAGTTACCCTGACAGT